CAGGACACTGGCCCCAGGCACAATGACCAGGGCCTGAGAGAGTAGCCCCACATACTGAGGATGCTTGGAATCCCCTGGGTGAGGTAAAGAGCCCTCACCACCACCCCCACCTTGGTTAATCATTTATAGACTCAAAAGACACAGGCAAAATTATATAACATTATTATTATTATTATTGTATTACCAATAATACCAGTCTCCTATAGCTGGAACAGGACCTCTTAGATCATTTGGATGGCTTTGGTGGCACCATCCTAAATGAGATGTGAGAGGACTCAAGATATCTAAAGCTTACGTCAAGGCTCCACATCATTACCTCCTTGAAGCCATAATGGCTAAGAGTGATTTGGGGAAAATGTGGGAGAGTCACACGTTTGGCTCCAGACCTCGTGAAAGTCATGGGTTAGATGCCACTTCTCAAAAACCCTTCAAATATCATGACCTTCATCCTTACATCTCACCTCTCTCCAAGGTCAGAAGGGCTTAGTGAGAGAAATTCACCCTGTGACACAACCAGGTCTAGAAAGGGACCAGCCCAAGTTCATCCAACATGTCATTGTGGGTAGATGATTCCAGGCTCCAGGCTCAGAATCCCATCTTCTGGACCATATTACGTAGCATCCTGGAGACCATCCCAAGAGCAGAAGGAGGACTTCCCGGGGCAGGGAACTTGACCTTCAAGTCTAACAGTTTATTCCTCTGTCTCCGAATTTGAGAGCTAGGACAGCAAACTGAAAACCTAAGTAATAAGTGACCATCTACATATGAAGGCCACATCCATCCTCTTCCCCCAATGGGCTCCCAAAAGGCAGGCAGCCAGGATTTTACCTTCCAGGCAGGAGACTAGAAGATTCTCCCCTGGGGACCCAGCCTAAGAGAAAGACCTACTGATGTGGACATCTGGTCTCCCCACGGAAACAGCACAGCAGAGGTTCTCAGCCTTGAGGGCACACGGGAATCAACTGCGGGGCTGTAAGATATAGCCCCAAAACTCTGATTTAATTGCTTTGCAGTGAGGGCGGGCATAGAGAGGTTCAAAAGCTCCCCAGCGATTCTAACGTGCAACCAAGTTGAACACTACTGCCCTCTAGTGAAGCTTGTGGTTAATAAGCACCACCCACCTGCTCAAGCTTCCAGGCTGATTTTTGACGCCTCTCTCCAAAATGAGAGCAGGCAAGCAACGCCAGACATCTGAGAAACAGTCCAAGACCAAAACAAACAAAAAAGCAGTCTGGAGGAATCAGACCATGCAGAAAGAAGAAAGTATATATACTGTAAATTTAAAAATCATTAACATCCTCAGAAAAATAAGACCAAAAAATTGCAATAACAGGGTGCTATTTTAAAAGGAACACAGAGAAAACAAAAAAGAGCTCCTAGAAATAAAAACTCAATAGAAGGATTAGAAGACAAAGTTGAGAAATTTCCCAAAAAGTACAGCAAAAAGTCATAAGATGAAAAATAAGAGAGAAAAGATAAGAAATTTGTAAGAGCAGTTTAGGAAGCCTGCCATTTGGATAAAACAAGTTTCAAAGAAAGAGAACACACACAAAAAAAGAAAAAAAATGGAGAGGAAATCATGTACGAAATAATTCAAGAAAATATCCCATAACTAGGATATGAGTTTCCAGATTCAAAAAAACCATCAAATGCCAGACACAAATGGATAAAAATGGGCCCATACCAAAACACATTTGTGTGACATTTCAAAAAGTGTGGGACAAAGTGAAAATCCAGGGAGAAAAACAAAGGTTATTTACAAAAGTTCAGCTATAAAAGTGACTTTAAACTACAACCACTGAGCAAACTAGAGGCAATGGAGCATGCCTCTAAATTTTGATGGAAAATTATTTCCAACCTATAACTCTATATCAAGTTTGAAGGGAGAATAAGGGCATTTTCAGAAAAGGTTTTTAAAAAATTACCACCCATGTTCCATTTTCCAGAAAGCTATGAGGACATGATACACCAAAATGAAAGAGAAATCCAAGAGGAAGACGTTGGCTGCTGGGAAAAGGCGATTTAGTGTAAATGAGAGACAGGGGGATTCCCAGGATGACACTCAGTCCCGGGACCAGAGGACAACCAGCCCCCATCTGAGCATACAGGAATGCTTCGGGAGACATTTTTCCAGGAAGATGAAATTGATAGAAGACCTTAAATCTGAGCATATTAGGAATAGATTTAAGCCATTGGCAAAATTTGGATTTAATTAGATATTTACTAGATTTATTTTGATAGAAATACATAGAAAATAGAAGAAAAATAAAACAAAAAAGGACAAGAAACAAAACAAAAATCCTACAGGAAAGGGAAAATAATTATGGTTTATTAATAGCTGAGTAGAGTTTACATAGTCATAATAATAGTAATGAACAAAGAGAATTATGACAACTTTTGGGAAGATGGGGGATGGGACTTGTGTGTGGTGTAGAGGGATGGAGGCCTTAACTTAAACCCTCATCTTCCCTGGTGTAAGTCCATGGATAACACCTACAACGGAGCAAGCATATCATTTGAGAGATGACAGGCACAAAGGGCCACATATTGTATTATCCCGTTTATATGAAATAACCAGAAGAGGCAAATCAACAGACACAGAAAATACATCAGTGGTTGCCCAGGGCTAGGAGGAATGGGGGAGGGGGAGGGTTTGAGGAGTTCTTTTGGGGGATAATGAAAATGTGTAATAATTTTCATATCATAATAATAATAATATAATTATATCATAATAATTATAATAATAATATAATAATTATATCATAATAATTATAATAATAATTTCCATTTTATTACTGGGTAATAATATCACCCAGTAATAATGGGTGAATTGTATGGTATGTGAATTGTATCTCAATTAAGCCCTTTAAAAAAAGAGCGATAACAGAGGTAACTACAAAAAGAAGCAACCAAGAGTTCAGTGATCGCCTCTGGTGGGGCTCAACGGAGGGCAGTGGGGTGAGGGAGTCTGAGGTTTTAAAAAAAATCTTATAGAACAATTTGATTCTTTAAACTACATGACTGTAAAACTTTCATTAAAGAAAGAAAAATAAACAAAGCATAAAAGCTGGCGTATGTCTAAACGCACTCTTGAAAGCTGGAGAATCACTCCCGGATGTGGCAGGGTCAGGGTTGGAGAGAGGGATGGGAGACCCTGCCCTCCCGGGGCCACGACCCCTGGGCAGGGGCAGGGCTGGGAACCCTGTGGCCCTGGGCAGGGGTTCTAGAGAGTTCCTGCGTGGGGCGTAGCCTGGGGTCTGGGATCGTCACCACGCCAGGGCCCTGGGGCAGCCAGCCAGGGCATCAGGTAGTCTGGGGAGGCCACAGACTCCGGGTCCTGGTGGGATGGAGGGATGGAGGGATGGAGGATTGGAGGGATGGCGGGATGGCGGGTTGGAGGGATGGTGGGATGAAGCGATGGAGGATTGGAGGGATGGAGGGATTGCGGGTTGGAGAGATGGAGGGATGGCCGGTTGGCGGGATGGCGGTTGCAGAGCGCGAGGGCGCCCCCGCGGTTCCTCGGAGGAGGGCAGCCCCGCAGCTCCTCCCAGCCCTCTCCCAGCGTTCCCTTCTCCGGCCCCTTCCTTTGAAGAGCATCTCTCTCCCTCTCCATGAGTCTGAATTCCCAATTGGGCTCACCCTTCCCCAGGTTGCCCCCCAGGGTCCTCTCAGCCCTCCCAAGCTGAAGTCACCATCATCTCTGTTGAGGGCCCAACAGCGGCTCCTCCCGTGCTCGTGTGGTCGGGCCTCTGGCGCCCCCTGCAGGCCGGGAACGCAGGACCGTCTGGGGCCCCTCTGCGTCCCCTTCCCGAGGCCGCGCGATCACCTTCTGGCTCTTCCTTCATAAAACTATCAAACCAATATCATTTAAATCTGTATTGGCCCACTCCCAACCATGTGTAAGTTTCTCTCTGGCCTTAAATGTTGGACAGAAAAGAAAAAAAAGACTGTGTTGGTATAAAGACGAATATGTTCTATATTAAGACATTCTCTTAGGCCTGAAAGTTTCTTTCTTCTGATTTTAAAACAAAACATTTTCATGGGCCTTAAAAGTAACGTGGGCCCTGGGCACAGGGCAGTGGACCAGTCTCGCCCCTCCCATCGTGTTGGAGCCCTCGGTGCACTCCCCCAGACTGTGGTCATAAGCTCCTCAAATCTCCCCTTGGCACTGGGCTATGAGCGCTCTACCTAAAACACACACACTGGCCTGCGGTGTCACTACCCTGCTCACAAGCCTTCTGTGGCTCCCCAGTACGCTGCCCAGTAAGGTGTTCACTGAAATGGCAAGTCACCAAAGACGTACGGACAAAATGCTACTGTGGCCCAGAGGAGGGCAAGTTAGAGGCTCATCTAGATGCTTCTACCTGGGAAACTCAGTTACGTGTGCTGGGAGGAGGGAGGGGAGAGAGGAACCCCAGTTCCCTTCCCCTTCCACCCCTATCCAATCTCCCCCTCTTTAGACCTGCCTGGGCCTGCACTACCTCAGAAAAGGAAGTGGGGCCAGACCACAAAGGGTCACAGCTTATCAACGCATGCCAGCACTGTTCTAAGTACTTTACCATCAACTCATTAGGCCTGCAACAATCTGATGGAGGAGGCATTATTATACATAATAATAATTGTCTAGAAATGTTTTATATAAAGATGAATAACTTCCACTTTACGGATGAGGAAACCAGGGCACAGAACGATTTAGGAATGTTCCCAGGGGACACCTGTTCTAAAACGAAGGGACGGGAGTCCTTGGCCCTGGAGCTTCTCAGTCCCGTGCAGCCAGATGGGGAGAGATTCTAGAATATACCCAGGGGGGTTGACACCTGTGATTTCCACCCAAATGCCCACTGTAGGAGCTGCCCTGGGTCGGATGCGACTGGGAGCAATCTGCCCAGGGCTCCCCACTCCTCACATTCTGTGGGAAGCTCAGCCCCGCAGGCAGCCTTCACCAAGCCCCCGCATCCACAGCCCGGGATGACACCTGCCCTTTCTGTCCCCCAAGGAACATGTCATCCCTGTTTGCGAGGGACACCAAGAGCTTGGTCAGAGAGCTGGGCAGGAGAGGCGAACTGGTGCCCGTTGACAGCCTGACCAGTGCCCTGCACCTGCGTCCCTTCTGCCTGGTGAGGAAGAAGCACAGACACCACCCCTGGCCTTGGGACACCCCCCTCATCCCCACGGACTTCTCCCTCATGGACGTGCTGGAGCCCGGCTCCCCTGTCCCAGGTACCTTCAGGTGGGGCCAGTGGGCGGCACAGTGGAAGGGACGGCAGGGCAGCTCACAAAAGAAGACAGATTCCTGTGGCTGAGAAGGTTGACACCCTCCACCAGGCACAAAGAGTCCCCCCCGGTCTGCCTGGCCTGGAGCATGCCATGGGCACCCCCTGCAGCCTGTGTCTTGCATGTGGGAGAAGGACGAAGCGATTTCTTCCTTCTGTCCCAGGCTGTGTGATAAGTAGTAATGATAATTTTAAACACAATAATGGCTAACATGGATTAAGTGCTTGCTGTGTTCCAGGGTCCATGTTGGCAATTCCTCAGTTAATCCCGACAACCACCCTTGGAGGAAGGTCCTGTCATTTTCCATCCCCTTTTCTAGATGGGGAAACTGAGGCTCTAAGAGTTAAGTGGCTTGCCCAGAGTCACACCCAACCAGTAAGTGGTGGGGGCCAAATTGGAACTTGGGGCTGAGGCTTTAGCCACTCAACCCTGCCTCCCTTGCTACCTGGCTCCAGCCTGGACCTCTCTCCCCACAGAGGTGAGCCGGAGCAAACCCATCCACGTCCAGGAGGTGGTGGCAGGAGCCGTGACAGGGGCCATGAGTGTAAGCACTGGGCTGCAGGGGAAGGTGATGGGGAGTGGCGGGGTGACCCGCAGCTCCACCCTGGTTGTACAAACCCTCAGGGTTTCCCCTCACACCTGGGAGATGCTGGTGGAGAAGAGGTGAGAGTCAGAACGGGTACACCAGGTAGGCTGGGGTCTCCCAGTCTGTCTGTGGGCACAGGTCCCCCCCCAGGCTGGAGAGGGGCATTGGGGGCAGGAGAGAAAGCCCAAGGCTCCTGCCAGCTTGAGGCCCCGAGTGAAGCCACTCTGAAGAGTGGGTTGGGATGGGGGAGTCCACTGTTAGCAGTGAACCCAGGGGCCCAGGGATGAGAGAGGGCGGTAAGAGGGACTTATATTAGGTCAGAGATTTCAACCCAAATGATTTCAGGGCCAGGAAAGGAAACAGAAAAGTGGGAGCTGCTGGATGTGAGGCAAGAGGGAGTGGTGAGAACTGTGGCAAACTGGGGGGCACATGCCTGCCTGAAACTGACAGCTGCTTCTGAGCTGCTGCTGGTTGTTGCCAGGCAGGAATGTTAGCTTAGTGGTGCCACTTTTCAAGAGAAACTAGAAATTGGGATTTTCTATGAAACTTACCAATTTTAATATTATCCCAAAATTTTTATACACCACATAAGCCAAATAACTTCTGCCTTTTGCCAGCAGCTTATAGAGAGCCAGCTTGTGGCCTCTGGTCTGGACATTTTAAACCTTGTAGAAGACAGATGTCTCAGACTTTCCTCGGTTTCTCCCCTTTATTCCAACTATGCCCACCTGGCCCTAAACAAGCAGTCCCTAAGTACAGGCCAGCCACACCAGGGGAGCCTGAGCCCGGGAGCCCTGGCAGAGGCCCCTCCCCAGCTCTGCCTCTTCTCCTGCCCCCCCTCACCCCACATACACCCTTATAGGAAACTGAGGACTCCGAGGCCCTCATTCCTCAGGGAGCTGCAGAGCCGGAAGGAGAGAGAGAACCTGTATGTGGTGACAGAGGCCGTGGAGACCATGCAGGACACCACGTTTCAGAGCTGCAGTGAAGCCGAGGGAGCAGGGCAGCTGTCCCTCCTCGGGCTGGGCCACTTAAAGGTGCAGGGTGTGCCCTGGGGGTGGAAATGTAGGTGTGTTGGGGGTGCTGAAAGCCACCTAGGAGCCCTGCCCATCACCCTAACTCCTGCCAAAGAGCTGCCCCACTAAAAATTGCCCCATCTAGGACTTAATAGATATAGATATCCAAAAACAGCAGAATATACATTCTTCTTAAGTGTACATGGAACATTCTGAAAGATAGACCATATGTTGGGAAACAAGGCAAGCCTCAATAAATTAAGAAGATTGAAATCATAGCAAGCATCTTTTCCAACCACAGTGCTATGAAACTAGAAATCAACTATAAGAAAAAAGCTAGGAAAGTCACAAATATGTGGAAACTAAACAACATGCTACTGAACAACTATTGGACCAATGAAGAAATCAAAGGAGAAATCAAAAAATACCTAGAGACAAATGAAAATGAAAATACAACATACCAACTCTTATGGGATGCAGCTAAAGCGGTACTAAGAGGGAAATTTATAGCAATACATCAGCAAACAAGAGAAATCTTAAACAAGCTTACCCTATACCTAAAAGAACTGGAAAAAGAAGAACAAACAAAGCCCCAAGTCAGTAGAAGGATGGAAATAATAAAAATCAGAGCAGAAGTAAATGAAATAGAGACCAAAAAAAAACAATAGAAAGGATCACTGAAACTAAGAGCTGGTTCTTTGAGAAAATAAATAAAATTGACAAACCCTTAGCCAGACTCACTAAGAAAAAGAGAGAAGGTTCAAATAAATAAAATCAGAAATGAGAGAGGAGAGATTACAATGGACACCACAGAAATACAAAGGATTATAAGAGAATACTAAGAAAAGCTATATGCCAACAAACTGGATGACCTAGAAAATGGATAAATTCTTAGAATCCTACAACCTCCCAAAACTGAATCAAGAAGAAATAGAGAATCTGAATAGACCAATCACAAGGAAAGAGATTGAAACAGGAATCAAAAACCTCCCAAAAAACAAAAATCCAAGACCAGACAGCTTCCCCAGTGAATTCTGCCAAACATTTGAAGAAGACTTAATACTTATCCTTCTCAAACTCTTCCAAAAAATTGAAGGGGGGGGGAGCTTCCTAACTTATTCTATGAAGCCAACATTACCCTGATACCAAAACCAGAAAGGACAAGACACAAAAAAAGAAAATTACAGGCCAATATCGCTGATGAACATAGTGCAAAAGTCCTCAACAAAACATTAGCAAATCGAATACAACAATACATTAAAGATCATACACCACAACCAAGCTGGATTTATTCCAGGGATGAAGAGATCGTTCAACATTCACAAATCAATCAATGTGATACACCACATTAACAAAATGAGGAATAAAAATAACATGATCATCCCAATAGATGCAGAGAAAGCATTTGATAAGATCCAACATCCATTTATGACAAAAGCTCTGAATACAATGTGTGTAGAAGGAAAGTACCTCAACATAATAAAGGACATATATGGCAAACCCACAGCCAACATCATACTCAATGGGGAAAAACTGAAAGCCATTCCTCTGAGAACTGGAACAAGACAAGGATGCCCACTCTCGCCACTTTTATTCAACATAGTACTAGAAGTTTTAGCCAGAGCAATTAGGCAGGAAAAAGAAATAAAAGGGATCCAAATTGAAAAGGAAGAAGTGAAATTCTCACTATTCATGGGTGACATGATTCTATATATAGAAAACCCTAAAGAATCCACCAAAAACCTACTAGAAATAATCAACAAATACAGTAAAGTTGCAGGATACAAAATCAACATACAGAAGTCAGTTGCATTTGTATACATTAGTAATGAACTAGCAGAAAGTTTAGTCAAGAATACAACCCATTTAAAATCACAACAAAAAGAATAAAATATCTAGGAATAAATTTAACCAAAGAGGTGAAAGACATATACGCTGAAAACTATAAGACATTATCAAAAGAAATTGAAGAAGACATAAAGAATTGGAAAGATATTCCATGCTCATGGATTAGAAGAATAAACATAGTTAAAATGTCCATATTACCTAAAGCAATCTACAGATTCAATGCAATCCCAATCAGAATCTCAATGACATTCTTCATGGAAATAAAACGAAGAATCCTAAAATTTATATGGAACAACAAAAAGATCCCAAATAACCAAAACAATCCTGAGAAAAAAGAACAAAGTTAGAGGTATCACACTCCCTGAATTCAAATTATACTACAAAGCTATAGTAATCAAAACAGCTTGGTACTGGCACAAAAACAGACACACAGATCAGTGGGACAGAATTGAGAGCCCAGAAATAAAACCACACATTTATGGACACCTAATCTTCAACAAAGGAGCCAAGAACATACAATGGAGAAAGGAACGTCTCTTCAATAAGTGGTATTGGGAAAACTGGACAGCCACGTGCAAAAGAATGAAAGTAGACCATTATCTTTCACCATACATGAAAGTTAACTCAAAATGCATTTAAGATTTGAATGTAAGACCTGAAACCATAAAACTCTTAGAATAAAATAGAGGCAGTACACTCTTTGACATCAGTCTTAGCAGAATCTTTTTGAACATCATGTCTACTCAGGCAAGGGAAACAAAAGAAAAAATAAACAAATGGGACTACATCAAATTAAAAAGCTTCTGCACAGCAAAGGAAACCATCAACAAAACGAAAAGACAACCCACCAACTGGGAGAAAATGTTTGCAAATCACATATCTGACAAGGGGTTAATTTCCAAAATATATAAAGAACTCATACAACTCAACAACAAAAAAATGAACAACCCAATCAAAAAATGGGCAGAGGATATGAACAGACATTTTTCCAAGGAAGACATACAGATGGCCAACAGGCACATGAAAAGATGTTCACTATCACTACTTATTAAGGAAATTCAAATCAAAACTACAATGAGATATCGCCTTACACCTGTCAGAATGGCTATAATTAACAAGACAAGAAATAACAAGTGTTGGAGAGGATGTGGAGAAACGGGAACCCTCATGCACTGCTGGTGGGAATGCAAACTGGTGCAGCCACTCTGGAAAACAGTGTGAATATTTCTCAAAAAATTAAAAATAGAAATACTATATGATCCAGCTATCCTACCACTCGGTATTTATCTAAAGAACATGAAATCGGCAATTCAAAGAGATTTATGCATCCCTGTGTTTGTTGCAGCATTATTCACAATAGCCAAGACTTGGAAACAACCTAAGTGCCTATCAACGGATGAATGGACAAAGAAGATATGGTACATATATATACAATGGAATACTACTCAGCCAGAAAAAGACAAAATCGAGCCATTTGTGACAACATGGATGGAGCTTGAGGGTATTATGCTAAGCAAAATAAGTCAGACAGAGAAAGACAAATACCCTATGATTTCACTCATATGTGGAAGATAAAGACATAGATAAGGAGGACAGATTAGTGGTTACCAGAAGAGAAGGGGGTGGGGGGAGGGCAAAAGGGACAAATGGGCACATATGTATGGTGATGGATAAAAAGTAGACTATTGGTGGTGAACACGTTGCAGTCTATATGGAAACTGAAGTATAATAATGTACACCTGAAATTTACACAAAGTTATAAGCCAATATGACCTCAATTTTTAAAAAATCACCCCATCTAAAGAAGAATGCGATTCCTGGGCGCTTGTGTCATGGTTCTCAACTCTGCACATTAGAATCACCTGGAGAGGTGTCTTATTTTTTGTTATTTTAAAATACTAATGCCCTGACACTCTCCCCCCAGTTCTGTTTTAATGGGTCTGGACTAGGACCCAATCACTGGTATTTTTTTAACTGTCCCAGGTGATTCTTATGTGCTGCCAGGGTTGGTATCACAGTGTCAGGGGTTTTGCATCTACCTTGGAACCAGGCGACCCTGACTGCGAATCCCAGCTCTGCCCCTGGCTAGCTATGTGGCCTTGGGCAAGTCACTTGACCCTCTGAGTTCGATCTCTCCCAGCTGTGAAGTTGGGCTGGGGAATCGGGGTGAGGATTATGTGAGAAAAGTTCCCGGGACATGCTGGGGGCAATGACACCCACTTTTCCTTGCACCTGCCTTCAGGGCCCAGAGCTACTCCCCACCGGCTCTGTTCTTAGGGCATCTAGCGTCTGGCCCTCAGGTCCCCGCTGTAAAGCAGGGAGGTTGGACCCCACGCTAGCGTCCTAGGGCTCTGGGACTCTCATCTCCCACAAATGAGGTTGCACTCACAGCATCCCAGCCGGCCCCACCTCTCACCATCCACTTGAGTGCAGGTGAGCACAGGTCACCTGAAGGTCAGTTTCCTAGCTGCCATTATGGAATACTGTCTCAGAGCTAGAACATTCTTCAAAATGTTCTCTATATGTTGTTCTCATCCTTTCCTCCTGATGATTCCATAAGGTGTGGAAACTGGAGCTCAAAGAGGGTAAGCTCCTTGCTGGGGAGCACACAGCTGGTCAGCGGTGGGGCCAAAATCCCAACCTGGGCCCGTCTGGTTCCAACGCCTGTGTGTTTAATCAAGCCAGTTAAACAGCAACCCCAGCTCTGAACACAGCAGGTGGCTGGCCTTCTGATGTGGGTTATTTCAGCAGATGTCATTTCAGACAGACTCGCCTGCCTCTCAGTTGTGAGAAGGAGACGGGATGACGTCAGGGGAGGGCGGGGAGCCGCTGGGGCATAGGGCGCCATCTTGGGATTAAGTGTTTGCTGTCCATCTCTTACTATGTGGAGACTGCAGGTCTTAGGTTCCGTGTAGGGTGACCAGCCTTCCTAGTTTGCCTGAGACCAGGGCTTTCTCAGGACACAGGACTCTCAGTGCATGAATCAGGAGAGTCCTGGGAAAACCAGGACAGTTAGTCACCCTAGTGGTGAGTGATGGAAAAGCCACAATGATAATGGCTCTAAGCAAGAAAAGGATTTCTCTCTTAACATGAAAGTTCAGATAGGAGCCTCAGGGCTGCCCTGGCAGATGGTAGTCATCAGAGACCTAGCTCTTTCTGTTTTGTCAATCTGCTACTCAATTTATGGCCTCCACCTCGTGGTCCAAGATGGCTGCTGTAGCTCCAGTTATCAAGTCCACCTTCTGGCCTGCAGGAAAGAGAAAAGAACTTGCACACGCCACTTCTGCTTGCATCCCACTGCCCAGAAATTGGTTATGTGGCCACATCGAGCTGCAAAGGAGCTGAGATTCATGGTGTTTATTCAGGACAGCCATGTGCCCCATGAAAAAGGAGAAGTTCTATTACTGTGGCTTTTAAGGTGATAATGGTGACACCACTGGTCCCACATCAGGAGTCCCAGCCTCCAGGGGTGCTTCCCCTCTCTGCACCACAGTGTCCACCTGTCAAGTGAGAGAGGACCACTTAGAGACCATTGGAGGTTATCCAGCTGCAGTGCCTCATGACTCCAGCTCAGCACGTCCCCAAGTGAACACTGCACACTCTGGACAGTGCTGAGACAAAATGAAACACATTTCTTTACTGTGGGACTTTTTAGGGCTTTTACCATGCCAGTGTGTACTGCTTTGACCCCAGAATGCCTTGGGTTTTTTTCTGGACGTATCTTGTGTGCAATAAGATCTTTGTATTTTGTAAAATGCTGTTCTTGCTGTGCCTGAGTGTCCCTCGTCCCCTCCCTTTGAATCTTCCTCTCCCCTCCATCTCCTGCAGCCCCTGATCGTCAGGAGGGACCCTTGCAGCTCCTCCTCCTGTGTCTCCTCCCAGCCCCGGCTCCTGTGGGCCCCTAAGACCCCTTCCTGCAGGTCCTAGAACCCCGTGTGGAGGTGATGCCCTGTTCTCCCTGCTTCTCCACTAGCTCCAGAGTCAGAGCCACATGGCCAAAGAGAAGACGGTGACCATCCCGAGGGGCACTGTCCTGGCCTACAGGGTGCTGCAGCTGGTGATCGAGGGGGACCGCTGGGGTAAGTGGAGGCTGGGGGAGCAGGAGCAGGGGAGACACGACTCTCCATCCTGGAGGGCTGGGAGGGGACAGAGGCGACTTGCCAGTGGGGGCCAGGAGGAGGGAAAGAGAAGCTGTTTCCCGGTTGGCCTGAGCAGTCAGCCAGCCAGGCCCGCATTAAAAGGATTTGACTTTCGTGGAGGGCTGCTGAGGTCAGCTCTCAGGAAGGGCTTACAATCCAGCCTGCACCCTACTTGCCCTGGGGTGTGGCTGCATTTGACTGGAGGAAGGGTTGTGTCAGCTAATTGGCACAAAGAATCATGTGGATCGGGCGTGGTCCTGCCCATCCATGGCCCAGGGGTGGGAGGCAGTAGGTTTCGCTCTCTCATCAGTGCTCCAGCCCAGAGCCCTGCAAACCAGAGACAGGGCTGGGTATTGAGCCTGGGGTGAGGCCCCTCGGGATGCTCAGATCTAGTCCACCGGATCTGCAGGGTTGGCCCTGGATGGGGAGGAGGAGGAAGATTTGGACAGCCACCCTTGCCCTCATAGAAAGAACGTGAACTTGAGAGTCTGGTGCACTGAGGTTTGAATGGTGGCTTTGGCCTTTGCCATCTGTGTGGCTTTGCGGACGTCACCTAATGTCTGAAGCTTCAGCATCCTGGTCTGTAAAGGGGCTCGTGCTGCCTGCCCCCAGAGATGCTGCGAGGCCGCAGGAGGTGAGCTGTGAGGATGCTGGCTCTGTGCCCGGCACACCGTAGGAGCTCCATAATCGTTGATTCTCTGCCTTCCTCTTAGACTCTTGTCTCTTTTTCCTCCCTGTGTTGTCACACAGCCGTTCTGTACCTCCCTGAAGGAAAGCTCTGCAGAGACACTGGCGGAGGTGAGTGGCCCCCACCCGGGGCCCATGAACCCAGCCAGAAATCACCCCTTCCCGTAGAGGATGCCCTGACATTCTTAGGGTCCCTTCTCTCCACCATGTAGTCACCCCACGTCACTCCAAGGGCAAGGAGGGCCAGGTACTCTGTCCCACAGTGGGGTGGAGATGAACTGGGAGAACTGGGTGGAGGTTGTGGGTAGGATGGGAGTCGCACATCGGCTCCAAGTTCCAGCTCCCTGCACAGCAGCCTTGGTTTCCCACCCGCAAGACAGGAAGGGTGGCACTTGTCTCACCGGGACAGGAGGACCACTGATGATATCCGGATGGCGTTTGGTACCTGGAGGGTTCTCAGGAGGCAGTTTGTATTGTTAATAAGATGGGAGTAGGAAGGCAGGGGGTGTCTGGGCACTGCTGGATCCACCCACCCCACCCTAGCCCTGCCGCAATGGCGCTTAGACCATGAGAGGCCCTGGCTTAGCCATCCCAGTGGGGCGATGGGGCAGGGTGGAGCCAGGTGCAAGGGGTCTAAGGAACAGATCCCAGAGCAGGGCCTTGGGCAGAGAAACCTAAAGAGGCTCTTCTTCTGGCTGAAGCATCGGCCCTCAGGAGGGGTGAGTGACTGGGGAGGGAAGCGAGAAGGTAGAAGGAGAATGAGGTGGGGGACATGGGGAAAGACAAGGATAAGACCTGTGGCTGGGACCTGGTATGTGGTAGGTACTCAGTAAATGCTTATTGAAGGAAGGAGAGAATGAATGAATGAATGAATGAATGAATGAATGAGAAGTCAGCACATAAAGGAACACTTTGCATGAGCGGAGAGGTTCATCAGGCCAGGTCTGAGACATTAGGACCCCCTGGGCAGGTTGAGGGCACCGGGGGCCTGGGTGGCCCTGGGCAGGGAGCCCAGGCACAGGAGCCCGTGGGTGCCAACCCCCTCTCTCCACAGGCGTGGGCTTCGGCTGGGCCCCAGGAGAGGAGCCCGACTTCCAGGGCCTGCAGAGGCAGGAGGGTGCCCAGCTGCAGGATCTGGCCACGCTGCTCCCAGAGCTGCGGCACGTGCTGCGGGGCGCCCTCCAAGAGCTGCTCAAGGACCCTCGGGCACTGCAGGAGTTCGAGGACACGGTAAGGGGCCCATGGGCTGGGGGCTGGGATCCGGCACAGGGGGTGGGGCGGGGCAATGAGAGGCAGGAATGGGACGTGCTCTGGGTCTCAGTAGCGCACAACCTCGATGGCCCCGTGGTGATTGGGCACAGCCCTGTGCCAGCTATTGTGTCAGGCACTCCCTGAGCATTTGCTCACTGAAGCCCAGAGGAGGCTCAGCAGGGCTGGCATTGAACCCAGGCTCGTCCCAGCCTCATGGGCGACACAGGGGGATGTGGTGCCAGGGGGTAGGGAATGGGAGCTTGGGTGGTGGAGTGCATGGACACAGGGAGGAGGGGGGACCCACAGTCTGCCTCTTCTTGCCGCTCCCCTGCAGCTGGAACAGGCCCTAGACACTGGGGTGCCAGGACAGCTGGGCGGCCCTGGGGGCGTCATCCTAAGCATCCTCCAGGACCCCTCGGGCAGCCTGTCGCCCTCGAAAGGCAGGGCCATCCTCTGCATTCTTGGACCCCTAGTGGGTAAGAGGGGCGCACAGGGACTGGGGCTGGGAGGAAGAGGGCCCCGGGGAGGGCTCCCAAGTCCCCTGCCCATAAGCCCCGTGGAGCCCCGGCAGCGCTGGCGTGTCCTCCCCACGCTCAGGGGCAGTGCCGTGGGCAGAAGAGTGTTGGAAGACTGGGCCGGGCTGCTCTGCTGTCACCTTGGGAAGGTGGCATCTTTGTTTCCCAGAATCCCCTCCCTCTATAGTTCTGGGTGAGAATCACCCAAAAGAGGAACTGGCCTGAGATTTGGGGGCCAGAAGTGAAGCAGTGGCCAGTCATCTCTGCAGGATCCCTGGCAGTCAAATTCAGTGTGGACAGGTGCAGGGTGCCCAGTGGCTTCCACGTGTACAGTGCTTCCTCCTGACTGCCAGCCCTGCCCACCAGCAGGCCTTCAAACCCGTCTCCAGACACGGAGAGGTCACGAGCGTGCCTGCCCCCACCCCCCTTTTCCACTCGTCTCCTCCACTTTCCTCCTTACTTCTGCCACTCTATTAATCATTATTCAGTAATCAGTTATCATTAATCTCCGCCTGCCAGAAATATCAGTTACAAGAAAGCAAGAGTTACTGTCTGTATACCCGCATGCCCGCTCCACTGAACACGTGTCTGCACACAGCAGGGGCCCAAATCCATGAGTTCCCTCCCCACGCGTGACAAGGAGCTTGAGATGCAGACGTGCAGTCAGGGCTGGGCCTGCCCTGTGGGGCTGGAAGGATGCTGTTGTTCGAGGTCGGAGCTTCGTGTTTGGGATCAGGCCAACCTGGGTTCTTCTCATCCTAGTTCTGCCACTAACAGGACGAGGAGCCATAGTTATCCTGGTTAATGGCCACCTTGCAACACCACTGGGCGAGCAGAGGGGCTGATACGTGTGAAAGCCCTTTGTAAAGTGAAGCCTACCAGACACCCTTAATGGATGGTGTTTTAGGGAAACTGAGGGAGTGGGAGGGGTGGCAATTTACTCAAGACCACTCAGCACTTCTGGGGCAGGCAACCAGAACCTTCTCGGGAAAGCCGGCCCCAGAGGTACCTAAGGGGGCTTCTCCTCCTTTAGGGCTCCAATATCCCAGCCCTTCCTCCCGGGTTACGAGGGCCCACAAGGAGAGACGCAGGTGCCTCAGCCCCAATCTCTCCACAGTGCTGAGCGACACCCAATGTCACCTGCTGGCCCAGTCCCTGGAAAGAGGGATCCTGCCTCGGCAGCGTGAGCTGGTGAGAGTCTCGGGAGGGGATGCAGGGGAGGACATGAGGGGAAATGGACCAAGTGGTTTGTCGGGGGGTCCGGTCCCCAGTCCCTTGAGAGCCCTTTGTCAGCCCCTTTGCCCAGCCCCCACCCACAGAGGGTGCACACACTGGGCTCTGACCCCCGAGTCCCCAGGCCATGCAGCATCTGCTGGGTGGGCCACATTCAGTCCTGTGCGGTTTATTCACTGATTGTATTGAATCCCTGCCTTGGGCCGGGCCCTCCACCAGGGTCTGAGAACACGAAGATGAAAGGGGCAGTCCCACCCCTCGCAGTCCCGTCAAGGAGACACGTGGACCAGTGATTACAGATAGGGCCTGATCTGGCTGGCACAGGTGGCTATGGGGGCACCAATGACAGGGCTCGGGCGTTTCCCAGAGGGGCGACCCCTCCACGCAGTTCATGAATTAACAGATGGAAAGACAGGGATGGGTATCCAGGCAGAAGAGTGTGCGCAGAGGCTGGAGGCGCTGGGCGTGTGGGAACCGCTGACTCCAGCCAGTGCAGGAGGGGTAGTGTGGGGGATACGTTACCTGGGGCCACAGTCCTGCAGGGAGCAAGGCCCCGGGGCCGAAGGTCGGTTGTGGTGGGGAGAGGAGGCCCCAGACTCCCGTCCACAGGGTGGGTTCCACCTATCCAGGGCCTGGGAAACCTGCCTGTTCATTCTGGGCGGTTCCTTGCAGGTGGAGAGTATCTTAGAACCAAACTTCAATCAGATGGAGGAAACAACCTTCTCCCTCCCGCCGGAAGTCCTCTCATCCCTGCAGAGTGAGGATGCGGCCCTCACCCTGGGCCTGGTGGAGAGCTGTGGGTTGGAGCTGCAGGGGCCCGGCACCCAGCTCATCTGGGACCCTGACGTGGTGCCACAGCTGTCTGCACTCTACGGGTCCCTCGTAGGGCTGCAGCTGCTGGCCGACCCCAGCCCCGTGGCCCACTAGGCTGATGCCTGAGAAGGTGCCACGTCCTTCCCTAGGGTCCCAGCCATCCTGACTCCAGGGAACTTCTGGCCCAGAGCCTCTGTGCAGGCCCAGGATGCAGCTGTCCCTCTGGTGGCCACAGGTGATTGTGGGGCTCTGCCAGGACTGGTCCCCAGACATCAGCCACCCGTCCAGATGTTAGGGGCACCCGTTAGCTTAGGGTCCCACCTGGGATCAGGACTCTTCTTTAAGAGGCAATAGAGGCTGGTTCCAGAACAGCCTGGGCTCCATCCACTGCTCCACCACTGACAGCTGTGTCGCTTTGGCACCTTACTCCCCTCTCTGTGCTTCCAGATCCTATCGAATTACCCCGTGTAAGATGGAGATATAAGAATCCCTAGCTCATAAGATTGTAGTGAAGATTTTAAAAGTTATTGCTCATAAAGCGCTCAGAACAGTACCTGGCTGTCACCTATTATTATGTGATGTCAATATTGTTAATAATAGTGATTATTCTGGAGGAAGCTACAGGACCTTTCTCCAGGTTAACAAAGGACTTGGACAATCACTCCTTAATTCTAGCTCCCTGCAGCTCTCCTTCAGCCTCAGTTTTCCCCATCTGTAAAACGAGAGTGATGGATTGATCTGCTCAGGTCTCGCCCAGCTGCGCCAATCAGGGATTCCATGGGCCATACGGACCCGGGTGTAGGCCAGGGGCTGGGATGGGATGAGCATCCTCAGCACAGGGCCAGAAGCTGGGCCCTTGACTTGTGGACCAGGCTCTTCCCATAATGCTGGTTCACCGCCAGCACCTCCCCAGAGCAGCAACTGGATTTGTTTCATAATAGGAAGTGTTTCTGGTAAAACTCACATTACCCAACATGGCTGTTCATGTGTGTGTGAGCAGTGGAGGAGTGTGTGTGTGTGTGTGCGTGTGTAGGGACGTGGACAGGGAGCAGGGGAAGAGCCTGAGGACACGTCACGGCCAGCACACCAGGACCAGGTCTCCGATTCCCAGACAAGTGTTCTTGGCACCCAGACAGAAATAAACCTCAGCAAGACAGTGCTCGTACGGCAGGCAGATCACCTGGGTTTGCTCACTCTGAGCAGGATCCCTTTATATATTCTTTCCTAATGATAAAACTTATCTCACAATCAAAACAATGGACATTGTGAAAAAATGTCTGAAGAACATTTTAATCTCCCTAATTCCATTCCCCAGAGACAGCCAGTATGGACATATTGGTGTTTATCCTTTCAGTGTTTTTTCCATGCATATAAATTATCTTGCATAAAAATGTAGTAAGATATTTATAGTTTTGTAAACTTGCTTTTTAAAAATGTACTCTACTGTGTGCCTGTCATTAAACATTGTCTGTGACATGAGAAGTGAGGCTGTAGGCAAGGGGAACTTGGCAGACCTCCCACCAACCCCTGGAAAGCTCTATCCTGGAAATAATGCACCCAGGTCACACTCGCCAAGAGCAGCTTCAGGTTCGTGTGACGGGAGAACGAATGCTGACACAGGCGCCTCCTTGTGGGGAAGCAAGAACAGAGAGACGTTCCCACTCTCCATGGCCAGAGCTGTCCAGTCCGTCCAATCAATCAAGCTTTTCTTTTTGCATGTTGCTCTTATGGGCTCATGTTTTGATCAAGAGGTTAAACAGCCACAAGCAAGTTAAAGGGGATTCATTGTTTACTCACACGTCTTGAAGGACATTGAATGAGTCCCTACACATGGTCTACATTAAAATCCTCTCTCCTTTCCATCCCCTCAGCCTGCAGCTGCCCCAGCTCCTCTCATCACCCCTGCCCAGTCCCCGCCATCCCCCTTCGGCTCTCTCTCCTTCCTCGTGTGTCCTCCCATCCCTGAACTTCGTCTTCTCCACCGGCAAGAATCTTTCCTTTCGCAGGGGAGGGAATGGACGTCCAGCAGCAATCAAAGAGTTCTCTCTTGTGGTCTGGTGAACACGATAATAAATGTGGTTCCATAACACATACATTTTTAAGTTCAACCTTCTCGAAATGTAACTTTTGCTTGAAGTTAGAGGTGATCATAATTTTAACCAACAATGTGCTAATTAAATCAAACTAGTTCTAGAAAGTGAGGGGTCTATCATCATCATCTAAGATGGAGAGAAATAATGTAACTATATTTTCAGAGCAAGGGCTCTGAAACCAATAGATTTGGGCTGAACACTGGCTCTATCAATACCTGTGTGACCTTAGGCAAGTGTCTTAACCTCTCTGAACTTCTGTTTCCTCATCTGTAAAATAGGGGTAATAATATCTCCATGTGTTTGTGCCTCTTGAGTAGCCTGCTTACATACATTGGCCCCTCCCTTCGTAGGACCCCCTAAAGAGCCCACCCGTCGGTGCTCACAGGATGGTCCTTGTCTAAAATCCCCTTTCAGCAGCCAAGTCAGAGTCTCCAGGGGCTGTGAGCGTGGGGCCAGCAGAGGAGGTGGGACAGGTGAGCTGCCTCTCGGCCGTGGGGATCTGAAGGAAGCCATCTCTCCGTGCATGGGCGCTTCCTCTGCCTTTGGCCACCCCTGTGCAGCTCTCCCCTCCTGGGGACCTCCTGAAAGCAGATGGGGCACAACCTGGAAGCCAGTGTTGCCTTAGCAGCTTTTCCAGGTCTGAGGTGGGACCACAGAGACTTACTTTCACAGGTAAGGAGATGGGGCCCAGGGAAGTCATAAAGCCAGGGAGGGCAGAAAGGGGACCAGAACTGGTTCACCGGACTCTCTCCCCTGCTCAGACTGTCCTGTTGTCCCCCCTCCGCGCCCCTCCCTCCTCCCAGCCTCTCACTGCCAAACGCCCCCTGGAGAAATACGCCCCCACCAGGCCAAAGGATGCCTGGCTCTCAGAGCAGAAGCCCTCGACTGGGGAAGATGTCAGTGCTGACTGAGCCTAGAAATAATCACCCCAGTCCGCATGATATGCTCGACCCCCGCCTTCCCACCTCCAGCCCTCCTCCCAGGTGCTCAGGCCCCAAACTAGGAACGTTCTTGACTCTCACACTCCCACATGCAGTCTGCTGGGACACCTGGCTCCTTCTTCAAAATATACCCCGAATCTGGTCACCTCTCACCACATGCTCTTCAACCACTCGCCGTCATTTCTTGCCTGAATCATTGCAGTTGCATAGATCATCTCTCGCTTCTGTCTTGCGTCCCCTCAGTCCTTCTTGGCACAGCAGTTAGAGTGAACCTTATCCAGGAGATCATGTCACTCCTCAGAGCCCTCCAACGACTCAGAGCAGAAGCCAACGTCTTGTGGTGGCCTCTACGGCTTTACAGATCCCATTGCCCCTCTGACTGCACTCCCCGCCCCCGGCACCCTGCTGCTCGTCAGACCCTCTCCTGCCTCGAGGCCTCTGCACATGCTCTCAGCTCCGTCCGGGAGCCTCTCCCCAGAGACCCTCATTGCTAACGCCTTCCCTCCGTCAGTCTTGGCTCACATGTGACCTCCTTAGTGAGACCTACCCCTGTCCAATTGCACACTGCACCCCCGCCCAGCACTCCCAATCCACCTTAATTTTCCCATAGCCCTCAGCATCTTCTACTGTACTGTATACTCTAGTAATTGATTCCGTCTAGGCACTGGGAATACAACAGTGCAGGGAACAGACGAGGTCCTGCTCTTATGGAACTGACTGTCTGGGGTGGGACACAGGCACTGAACACTCACTCACGGTGGCCTCGTTAGCACCCACTGTGATGAGTGTTAGGCGGGGTGGGGTGGGAATCCAGGGCATCCTTAGAGCTGAACGGGCCCTACGACACCGCTTTGGTCAAGGACAGTGTCAACAGCATGACTCTCCCCAGTCACTGACAACTTGCAGGCTGCTCTGGGAGGTAAGTCTGAGGGCAGGGGGAGAAGGACAAAGAAAGGAGGCAGGGACAGCAGGGGCCAGGCCTCTCCCATTGTTGCAACCCTTGACCAATGGAGACGGGCGTTGGTGGATAAATGCCCCCCTCGTCTGCCCTCAGGAAGGGTCCCAGATGCTTTCTACACAGCTCCCCAGAGGTGCCTGGGGCAGAGTCCCAACTTGAGAACCCAGCCTTTTATCGGCTTTCCCTCCTGGCCTCTTTCACTCTGCCCAGCCCCTGGCTCTGCTCCCTGGGCCACTTCCTAAAATCAACCGCCCACAGCACATAGCCTTTACTTCGGCTCTGCTTTCCACGGAAATTTCAGGCTAAAACAGCACGTTCGGTGGTAAGTGCAGTGGAGACAAACAAACAGAGGGTAGAGGCGGTGTGGAGTGTCAGGGAGGTTGTCATTTTAACCAGCAGGGGCAAAGTAGGCCTCTCTGGCAGGATAACATCTGAACAAAGACCGAGGGCAGCCATCCACAACGCCCCCGGCAGGGGGACCCGCCACTGCAAAGGACCTGGACAGTGGTGTGCCCCGTGTTGTGTTCAAGGAAGAGCAAGATTAGCACGGCTGCTGTTTATTGACATGGAGTGAAGGAGACATGTGATACCTGCATACATACAAGACGTGTGTACGAGGTTTGGCCTCAAACCATTGCTTACAATGACAATAGTTTGGAAACAACCTAAGAGTCCATCAAACAGGGGACTGGTTAAGTAAACTAGGGCACCTCTACATAATGGAATATCACACAGCAGTCAAAAAGAATATGCTCTTTATGTAATAATATGGGACAATCTCCAACTCATATTAAGTGAATAAAGCAAAGTGTGAAATTGTGCATGTAACGAGTTACATTCAGGTTTAGGCATGGGAAGAATAAATACGGATAACATAAAATTGAACTGAGGTCTATCTCACTTACATAAGCCATACTGTTTCTCCTACAACTACAGATTATTGAGGAATTTTCCAAGAAACAGTACTTGAAAGATCCTGGTGTTTTGTGTCAATACCATCTTCAGACCACATACTGGAGAACATACGCCACCGTTGACTTTTATTCATGTGGCTTCCTCTGCCCCATGCCCTCTTCATCCCCTCAGAACACTGCTTCCTCCTCCGTTAAGTCCTCACCCAGGACCCCTCTTCACAGTCTTAGGACATTGTCTAAGTGGGCTCTGGACAGGAACTTACTAAATCTTTACTGACTCATTTAGATTTTGAACTAAGCTCTGTAAGAAATTATTTTATGTGAATTTATGGAATGGCAGTTACTGCAATCTCAAACAGAACCAGAACCGCATTTCAGCTCTCAGGACCTAGGTTTGAGCAGAAATGGTAATTATCCTTATGACAAGTCTTAAGCCCTGGAGCAATCTTAAAATACTCCAGGGTGCTTTTTAGTCCAAATCTCTAAAGTGAGGAAACGGCCAGCTGAAGTGTTCTGCTCACCAGCGTGGAGGGCTGGAGGAAGGCGGCGGTGGAGAACAGATCTTCATGGGTACAGCTCCAGAAGACAGGAGGCAATGGACACTTGGTATTGTGAAGGAAGAGGCACAAGGGCTCAGGCAGAGGATGAGTGGAGACACTGACCAGAGCTGTGTCCTAGCTGTAAGAGGGGGTAAAAGCAGGCCAGCTTGGAGTGACAGGTTTACCTACACTGGAGTGGGGCCACACCTCCCTTCAGCATGCAGGGCGGACCCTGTAATTAACCCTGGCCCTCTTTCCTGATGGGCCCATGGCAGCCCCACAATCCTTGATTCTAAGGACAGACATTACGAATAGAGATTAGACTTGGCAGATGAGAAGATGCGTGTTTGTTCTCTCTGGCGATCTAAATGGCAAATATTAGACCTGAAATTCAATCCACTTCTTGGCTGCAGAGACAGCTCCTTTTATCACACTGCAGCACTGTGCTTCTAGCACACTAGGTTCTCAGATAAGCCTGCTCTTGTAACTAGAGGGGTCGGCAAACTCCTTCCACAAAGGGCCAGATAGTAAATATTTTGGCCTCTGAGGGCCATGTGACCTGTTATAAGAATTCCATTCTGCTGTTACAGTGCAAAAGTGGCCAAAAATATATGTAAACAAATGAGTGAGGCTGTGTTTCAACAGAATTTTACTTATGGACAGTGGAATTTGAATTTCATATACTTACATATGTCATGAAATATTATTGATTTTTTTCAACCTTTTAAAAATGTGAAAACTATTCTTAGCTCACAGGCTGTACAAAAACAGGTGTCAGGTGGACTGGCCCACAGACTAGTTTGCTAACCCCAGGTCTAGACTTAAGAGATTTTTCCACTTATTCTCCAATATGCAGAACATAAACTACGTTAACTGCAAAGATTATTTTACCTATTCCAGCTGCATCATTACTTTTATTCATATTCATTCACTCCATTCAAGCATTCACTTGGCATCTACTCAATTTGGGTACTGTGCAAGATCCTTGGGATACTGAGGGAATATCAGACACAGCTCTTCTCTCAAGTTCTCACACTATCTTCTCAGAGAATCAGAAAAGGTATCTACAAGTGCAGTTAAATATCAGGAGTGTTTGATGAGACACTTGTGTTACCTTCTCAGGGCTGCCATAAGAAATCACCACGAACTGGGTGACTTAAAACAACAGAAATGTATCCTCTCACAGTCCTGGAAGCCAGAGGTCTGACATCAAGGTGTCGGCAGGGTTGGTTCCTTCTGGAGGCTCTGAGGGAGAATCTGTTCCATGACTCCCCCACCGCCCCGCTTCTGGGGGCTGCCAGCAGTCCTCGGTTCCTTGGCTTGCAGACGCATTGCTCCACCTCGGCCTCCACTTTCATGTGGCATTCTGCTGTTTCCCCTTCTCGTCTCTTCTAAGGACTTGTCAATGGATTTAGGGCCCACTCTAATCCAGGATGGTCTCATCTCCTTAACTTCACTTCACCTGCAAATACCCTTTTTCCAAGTAAGGTCACATTTTCAGGTTCCAGGTGGACATATCTTTTGGGGGGCCACAAGTGACTCATTACAATACTCTTAGAAGGTGCCTAGAAGGACATGGCTAATGTTATCCCGAAGGCTTCATGAAGGAGGTTGACACGAGCTGGCCCCTAAAAGGTGAGAGCTATTGTTCGACAGATGGACGTGAGGGAGGAAGAGGATGACAAGCTCAGGGACCGGCCAGACCAGACTTATGGAAGTGCGACACCGCATGCAACAATCTAAGCAGCTGAGCCTGGCTGGAGGGCAGGGTATGAAGGCGAAGAGCATGACACGAAGCCCAGAGAGGTCAGCTGGGATTCTGTTATGAAGGGCTGTGGGAGTCACGATCTGGCACTATTAAGCCAGAAGGTTCTGATGGAAGCCTCCGGGATTCTCTTCCAGAGTTAACCCTTTTAACTGTGTCACAGCTCAGATACATTTCTCATTAAAACACCAGCATGGTTGGACTAAACCACCTTTAAGCAGCTTCTCCCAATCATGACATTTAGATTTCACAATTAAGGTTTTATGATCTTAAAATAAACACGCTAGTTTTCTACCACTAGTGAGATCGGGGACTTGAATCTCTCCTGGGAAGTCCCTCTTATACTCACTCTCCTCCCAGTATTAAGAGCTGTTCTTCCTTCCACACTCTTTGCTTCATGTTGCTACCCTCTCACTTCTGGGAAATGTGAATCAAGCAAGTGGGTAGTTTTCCTTCTATGACTACATCCATACAAGACTAAATCAAGAATAAAAGTCAAGTTAATGACAAGATCACTGGTCTTACTGCAATTAGCAAGAATTTTAAAAGCAGTTAAAACTGTGTACATAATAATGACGAAAAATACTATTAAAAAGACACAGCTTGTCCCTAAAAGGAGGGAAAATTATGTAATGTGTATACATAAAAATTGACATGGGGAAAGCTTTAGAAGCCTAAAAATAAAACATCAGTAAACCAAGCCACACTTAGAAAAATGAAAGCTGATTTTTATTTTATCATCAACAGCCATTCTTTAAACATGAACATGCATACGTAATATTCTACGCACACATCACAGTTTTTAACGTTAGTTAATAAAGGTTAAACACACAACATACATCCTTACAAAAAAAGTCAAAATGCAAACTTAAAACTTTAAACAAAAGTCTTACTAATTTAAAAAAAGTTTGTGTTGGGTACCATTTGTACAACACAGTTAATTTAAACATTTTCATTTTGGCTGCACATGAAAAAAGCGGCAGTAGAAAATAAAGTCATTGAGGGTTTTTAAATAGCAGAATAGGCAGTTTTGCCATGCAGGAGAAGCAATATTAAATATTAGTTTTCAAAAAAAATCCACATTTAAAAATATTTAGTTCAAGTCACAGAATTTTTCTCAGTAGAGACCCCAATGCAATGCATAATTAGCTGCCTTAGATGGCCCGTTTGAAAGGACAATGTCCCTTCAGAGTATAACTTTACTGATTTTGGCACAGAAAAGAAGTCTTAAGAACAAGAACATGATTAAAAAAGGGAGGAAGAACGGAGGACAGAAATACAAAGCAAGAGTAAATGAGAGAGGAATTGCAATCCCTAAAAACTGTGCATTCCCAGTCACTGCAGAACTGTCTGTCCACAGCAGGCGCTTCTTCCAGAACTGCTATTGCAGCATGGATTTAATTTGCTTGGAGGTAGTCTCATCATTCAAATGTTTTGTTGTGTACCTAAAGGTAAAAAAAACATCGATTTTAAGGAATTAAAAAAACAAAGCATTACCTGCATTGAGTTCTAAATTACCATGAGATGAGCAACTGGCCAGGCAAACCTTCTCTCTCAACATTCACCTCATTCCAGCTTGAACTCTGTTCAGGTTCTGCCCAGCTTATCCTCCCCACCGCCTTTTAAACAGAACATCCAACAGCTGTTAACTTAGCTGTTGAACTACCTTGCTAAACGGATCTGGTTAAATTCTAAAGTAAACATGAGCTGTGACTTCTCACTCCCAGGAAAGTAACTGTTACATCCCAGGAGTCGGCAAACTGGCCTGTGGGCCAATCCAGCCCACTACCTATTTTTGTATGGCCTGTGAGCTAAGCATATTTTTACATTTTTAAATGGCTGGGGGGAAAAAATCAAACCAATAATAATATTTCATGTTAACATGGAAATTATATGAAATTCAAATTTCAGTGTTTATATAAAAAGTTTTACTGGGACACAGCCATGCTGATTCATTTAAGTATTTTCTATGGTTACCTTCTTGCAACAATGGCAGAGTTGACTAGCTATGACAGAAACCATGTGGCCCACAAGGCCTAAAACATTTGCTTACTCTCTGGCCCTTTTCAGAAAAGTTTGCTGACCCCTGTTGTATTCTGTATTTAAGACAGCTCAGCTATTTCAGCTGTAATTGTCACATCCCAAAATGTTTCACTTCTCTCAGTGCCTTATTTTTAGGCAGAGGTGTTTTGCTATAAGTATATAAATCCAAATTAAGAACCCAAAAACGAATCACTAACAGTGATTATTATTTTACGAGAAGATTCACCATAGGATTCCTTTACATCGCAGAAATTCAATAAGCAAGGCTCTATGTCAGGCACTGTTCTGGAGCTTACAACCTAGCAGAGAAAAAGACGATAATATACTAATACTACAGAAGGGGTTAACCTAGGAGCAAAGTACTAGGTGGGGCCACAGAGACCAGGAAAGACCAGGTCACATGGACACTGGCGGCCACAGTAAGGAGTCTGGAGATTATTCTAAGTGCAGTGAAAGCCAGTGGAGAATATGAAGTAGGGGAATGTTGTGTGATTTCATTTACATTTTGAAAGGATCACTCTGGCTGTTGAGGGAGAACTGTAGGGCACAGAAGGAGAAGCAGAGGGACCAACCAGGGGCTATCATAAGGGTCTAGGTGAGAGATGACCAAGGCTTGGACCAGATGAGCAGCAATGGAAATAGGTGCTCAAATGCTTGACTGTGGGATATATTTCGGAGATAATTCAGACAGAACTTAATGCTGGTCTGGTTAATTTGGCTTATAAGAATTTCACATATAATCTTTAAGGAATATCATTTTAAGCAGGTACACACAGATGGCCTTTCTGCGTTAAATAAATTAAAACTCAATTCTTGTTAGGTTAATTTCAAATCAATTTTAAAAATTGAAGCAAGTACCTATACTCAAGCAAATCTTTGGACAGATTGCTTATTAAGTATCTGATATACTCTCTAAATTTTACTTAGAAGTCACTTCCAAACTGTTCCCACGTTACTGAACAGATCCCAGAGTGCCTGGCACGTAACAGGTGCTCAGTAAGTATTTGTGGCAGGAAGACAAGAAGGTAGGCAGCCAGGCTGGAAATAAAAATCCATAAAGGAATATTTACATTAAGTGGTAGGTGCTACAGCAAAGACTTAACCTCTGTTTCAGTTCCCTAGTGCAGAGAAAGTATATATAGCTACACATAATCCTACTGATGCCAGGAAATAAGAATTTTCAACATCCATCTCTTCGTTCCTGTTTCCCCCCCTCTTCTTTATACAACTGGATAATGGAAAGAGCCAAATAATGCGCACAGCAAAATTTCTACCACAGAGTACGTAAAAGTATTACTAATCAGCAAGGTACTGTGACACTCCAAAGTTGTGAGTGCTTTTCTCTCTACTACGGCACAAGTTCTCACTCCTTCCATGGGATGTGATCATGAGCTTCCACAGTTCTCAGATCCTTCCCCGGACAGAGCCAATGGAGAGGTCAAGGCATCACCACGTTCTCCATCACGAAAAGGCCAGTAACCTCTGATGTGTGTGAAAGTAACGTATGAAGATGTAGAGCAGTATTTCACTGTGTGCACAAAACCAAGTCCTTTTCCCAGGGCATGTGACTTTTCTACTGAAGAAAAACAACTATTATTTACCTTTACTCTTAAATTTAATTAAGAAGGCAATTATCTAGCACTGAACTTTAGCTCCAAGCTCTAGCTCTCTCCCTCTTTCTCTCTTATGCTCAAAGGTATTTGGCTCCATTTCTCCACCTGTAAAATGTAGACCAGACTTGTGGCTTTCTCAGAATCACATAAGCTGGAGTTTCTATAATCACTACAGAAAAGCATTCAAAATAAATAATATATAGACATGCAATTATACTCTCATTTGGTTATTAACTGTTGGCTCTGAGGAAAACGATGGAGTGAGCATCTCTAGTAAATTGGCTACTCACAAAAAAAATAATAATAATTCAGCAAAAAGGTATTCCATTTTGTAGAGGTGTAAATAACAACACTTGCACAGCACTTTTGGGATTACAAACTGCTTTCTTAACAATATCTCCTTTGCTCTGAGTGAAGCATATTAAGGGCTAGGTTGACTTAATTTAAGCAGGGTTTCTCAAAGAATCAGCATTATCTACATCAGTAAGGGAGTTCGTTTAAAATGAAGGTGCCTGAGCCCCACCGCAGATCTAATGAAGACTTTCTGGAGGCAGTGACCTGGGAATGTGCATTTTTCATATCCACCCAGGTGATTCCAAAGCACACTGAAGCTCAACTGCACAGCAAACCTAAGGCTCAACAGTGTGACGTCACGTATTTGGGAGTTCAAGAATGAAATCCTGAATTTGAAAACAGACTCCAACATTTACTAGCTGTATCATCTTTAGTTTCTCAAGAGCTTAAGGTAACTCTTTTGCACAATGGAGACACCTCCAACATCCCATTCCCACACCCACCTCACAGAGCTGTGGTGAAGATTAAAGTCCTATATATAAAATTGCATTGTGCATCTACAGTGATATAAAAATGTTACTAATTATAACCACTACTCCATAGCATCAAGTAAACTGATTAACCTTACAGAACTTCCTAGGCGAAAAAATAAAAAGCAGACACAGAATATGGTCACCACGAATACAAACAGTTGAAGAGCTGTCGCTGCAATAAACTTGCATTTTCTAATTTCCATTATATATTTGAAAAGAAAACTTAACGGAAGTGACGGTGGCTCTTGTCTCACTGGTACTTTTCTTCCCCTCTCCCACAAACACAGCTTACCGTGTGGGAGCCCTCAACTCCATCACTCACTCACTGCCACTGCCCTCTTCTGCCCTAATTCTAGATTAAAAGAGACAGAACTCTCTTTAACTCTGAAAAATAAAAGTAAACTCTGGGTTTTTAAATAAAGGTTTTAAGCAGAGTCCCTTCAAGGCAAAGAAATAATACTAAAACCTCCTAAACCTCAATTATCTCTTAGTTTTTAGAAAAGATTTCCTGTCACTTGCTGGCTTCAGGGATGTAACCAATCCAAAAGAAAACAGCCTGGGAGAAAAATCAGGCTGACTGGACACAGGTAGTTTTCAGAAAGGGACCAAGTAGGAAAGATGCATACCACAATAAATACTGGTAAATCCAATGAAGTTTGCACTGCAAAACCTCAAGAGTAACAAATTCCAAAAACAACACTTATGGTTGAAATAGTTTGACATTTTAAGAATTTTTAATCGCTTTATTATGTTCCTTAATCTTTCTGATGTACATTTAGAATAGATCTCCTTTCAGGCAATCACTGCTTATAGAATACTTTTCATAGCCTTAATAAAATCATTTGCTGGTTCCACTCAGCTGAAATGACGCAGCCTAGGTTTCGCTTTATGACATACCAGGTGTGACTAAGTATTCAAGAGGAATACAATCTGTTTTGCTCACAAAATATGTGGGGAATGTAATATTGAATTGGAAATCATTTCATTCTGTTCTATGAACTACAAAGCACTGCAATGAAAAGCAAAGACAGCCTGTGACCTCAAAAAGTCACTATATAAATATTTCTGTGTTCATATAAATTTTGTGCTTAAGCCCCAGATAATCAAGCAATGAGCAAATCATCTTTTGTGTTAGGGAATTATACTACCAATTAAATCTCTGTAGTCAAGATGTTATAATGTACTGAGATTTTCATTTAAAAATATTCCTGCATTCTTAGCTTTAGTAAATCAAATAAGTCTAAGCTGAGAGAAGATCTCAAATAATGACTGACTGCTTTATTTTCATTATAAGAAATATAGGAAATACACAAAAATAATAGAAATCTGCATTTGTGAACACAGAAATGTAATTACACTATATTAAGGGAAGAGAGCTAGTTGTAAAACAGTTTGTATGGTATTATTTTGTAAAAAGATAACTATCATATAGACCTATGACTATCTGTTAAGTGTAAAGAAAAAACCTCTAAAAGAATATATACCAAAATGTTAATAGTGGTTTATTTCAAAATAGTGTGATTACATGATTTCTTTCTTTTTCTTTAAATTTTCCTGTGTTCACTGAATTTTATTTATAATTAGCATGTATTACATTCATTAAAAAATAAAAAATAATAAGCACCTCTGCTTTAAGAGGGGCAAAAAATGAAAGCCAAATCTTCAGGAAAGAAATAAAACTGCTATTCTCATTTGTACACACACTCTCTCTCTCTTCATTATAAAAATACTGTAACCAACATTTGAAAGCAAGATTACCAATAAGCAAAACGAGATCTTCGCATTTCTAACTTGAACATTTATATTCATATCCTTTGTGCTATTCACATTTTGAAGCATTTTCTTACACATATTTTTCCTATATGTATGTACATGTACATATACACACCTGAGAGCATTGAGAAGACCTTCTACACTATTAGGAGGCTGGTCCTTAAGAACTTTGATACAACCTTTCATCTAAGGAGAAAAGGAAACCAAACAGGTGAAACATCTCTTTTTTCATCTAACATTCACTTTCGAAATAGTAATACTTAAACTAGCACCACAACTATGAAACTCATAAGAAATTACCCATTGGAAATGTCAAAATAATTATTCTTAGAACAGGAAAAAAAAATCTACCCAAGTGTTATTATTTTTGGTTTGTCAGTCAAACAAAACTTCTTGAGAACCAAATCAGTCAAAGTGAAGCACCAGCCACACTAATCAGAAAACTAAGGGTCAGCTATGGGAAGACTTCCTGGAAAAGATGTTGAGTAACCTTTTAAAGGATGGAATGGACATGCTGGCAAGGAAAAGAGGCAGATGGATGCCATGACAAAAATAATAAAGTATATCACACACAGAGGACAGAATTCTGCAGGGCTGAAGTGACTCACATAGGGGAGTTTACAGAGGGCCTTGAAAGCCAGGAGGACTCATTTGGAACTGATGGGGATGGCAGCAGGAAACAGGCTATTGAAAAAGGGAACAACTCAATGAAGATGGTATGTAAAGAAGATGAGCCCAATTACTGTGAAAAAGCAGAGCATAGTAGAGATATCACAGGCTTTGGAAGCCACGGAGATGTGGGTTCAAAATCCTACTCTACCATTCACTAGCAACTATACTACTTAACTTCCCTAAACTTTAGTTTCTCTATTAGTACCAGGGAGATAACACCTACATCCTAGGAGTATTTTCAGAGTTAAATGAGAGAACAAATGTAAAATTCCTGGGACACAGTAATCACTCAATAAATGTTAACACATTTCTCTTCACATAGGATGGATATGAATGAGGGCAGGAAGACTGGCTGGCAATCAGTAATCTACCTACGAAATGCTAAGAGCCTGAACTAGCTGTGAAAGGGAAACTGGGAGACAATTCTCACCAAACACTGGTTATAATTCTGATGAAACAGACGTGAGAGGGTGAGGGGAGAAATGACAAAACAGAGAAACCCAGGCTATAACCACAAATTATTCTGATTGGGGGAGGAGGGAAAATACGTGGTCTTCAACATTTTTCACTGGAGCACCTCTACTGACTTTTAATACACATTTTTGTTTGAAATGGCCTTTGGCCAACAGAAAGAAAGGAGACAATAAAAAAAAATTTCACATGTCTGAATATCTATTTATGTTGCCAAATATGCAGAAGGACCAGTTATGAGTATGAGGTTTCCCTACATGGAGATACCCTGAAAAATAATATAGTTATCCTTCAATCATTCTAGTGCAGCTGTATATAGCCCGTAAGAAATACTGCAAGAGAGTAGGGGAGACCAAAATCCACCATTATCACAAACTATAAAACTCAGTTTTGTAACAGAGTGCAGCCTGCCAGCTCTTTAAATAAAAGCCTATGGTTTCTATTTATGGAAATTATTGGGAATTATATGAAAAAAAATAACTTACATCAATTTTTGAAGTTTTGGCAAATGCTCCCACTGGATGTACATGGTCATAGAGTATTATGACACCCACCATTACCCTCAAGCAGAATGACACTGTCTCTTCATTTGTAAATCTGCTTCTGTATTCCCTGGAGGGTAGAAAGGATGGATGGATGAAGCACATCACAAACTAATGAGCTGATTCAACTCTCAGTTGATGCTGAAAGACATAGCCTGTTGATCTCTAAAAGGGATGCTAACATTATGCACCTCCCCGTCTTTGCAATGAGATTTCCAGAGAAATGAGGTGGGTGGAAGTTATAATTTACATATTGTGGTCTCTATACGCACCTGAATACGTTACCCCTTCTGCTTGCAGGGATCAGACAATTTTAGAGAAATCAAAAGTAGCCCCAAAGTACAAGTTTGGGGATGGGTGCTTTGTAAAGGCTGTTATCACCACTATGATGAAAAAAGTCACTAGCTTAACAGAGCCAGTACGTTTGCTATCTAGGGGCTAACTTGATCTAAACATGTTATTGTATTCCTGAATTTTAATTTGCTAAAATTCAATCATATTCTTCTTTCATTTGGGAAAAAAGAAATAGAACTTTTGTCTATAGAGAAGGCAGCATGGCATAGCAGAAAGAGTCCAGAACCAGGATGGAGACATCCAGGCACATGTGTGGGGTCGGCCACTGTGCATAAGTCCCTCCATTTCCCAGGACATCATCTCCTAAATGAGAAGGATGATGATCATGAGTAGCTGCCCTCTTACTTCATAAGGTTTTCCAATAAAATGATGTATATCATAGTGCTTTGGAAAATAAAAAGCTCCACAAAAACAAAAGTCATCTAGTAAAACCATATATTATTTGGGAATCCAGGAGCGATTCTTTCTGCCTGCTGTCAGGAAAAAGCAGCCAGAAAACTTCGTGGTACACATCATAAATGGCTTGAGAGAGAGGAGAAACCCAGAAGAGAATTCAAGTTAGTGTTGAAAAAAACTGAAGACTGAGAACCGATGCTGAGAGAGAGGGATAAGAAGAGTGACTGCAGCTCTCTAGCAAACAGGCAAGGTCCTTTACTGAAAAGGAAGAGAGTGGTTATGAGAAGCATAACCAAAAGAGCTTTCAAGCTCATCCCCTACCCCCCAAAAAGCACCACAAAATCCCCATTCTGAAGAGTGTAAGTTAGTCTGACTAGTGTGAGGCACCTGAAAACCAACTGTTCTTTATACTTAACCAGAAGTTACATTAAGCTGCCAAAACTATTTTAATTTTTTCATATGTTAACACTGGATAGTTGGGATATACTTAATTTCCACCTTCAAATATGACATATTCATACCTAGACAACCATTTCAACAGGAATGTTAAAGTGAAAAAGATCAGCTAATACTCACGGTGTTTCAAGCATGACTCTGCATACACTAGCCATGGTACTTAGACAATCTGTGGTATTTTCTATTGGTAAATTTTTATTCTGTAAAAGTGTATGGAGAACAAAAAAAGTAAAAGTGACCAACAGTTATTACTTAAGCATAATTTAAAACCCAACATAATATGAAAAATTAGCAACTTTAAAATCTAGTTCCTACTCTCAATTTTGTAAAATATGCACTAGATTCTAGGGACTGTTCTAAGCTCTGGGATACAGCTATGATCAAGATAGCCATGATCCTGTTCTCCCAAGAGGCACTTACATTCTAGCTGGGTGGAAACAATCACAATATGCAGACTGGGCCTCGCAGGCCATCAGGTATGTGGATTTTATCCTAAGGGTACTGGGAAGTCACTGTAAACATTTTAAGCAGACAAGGAAGGGAATGTGGTTTATGCTTTAAGAAGATTACTTGGCTGCTCTTTGGAGAAAAGACTAGAGTGGGGCAAGAGTGGAAGAAATAACAGTCAGAACATGAATGCAATAATCCAGGTAAAAGAATGATGGGCTGATCTGGAGAGGTAGCAAGAGAGGGGTTAAGTTTTCAGATTCAGGGTGTATTTTGGAGGGAGAGCCAATAAGACTGAGGAAGTGGATGTAGGGGGTGAGATAAAGAAAAGAATTTAGGATGATAACCCTTAAGTTATTTGCTTGTACAGCCTTACTATTAGTTGAGATAGCAAAGACTGGAGAAAGGGTAGTGTTGGGAAAAAAAAATCAAGACTTCAGTTTGGTCATGATACTGCTGAGGTGTCAACAATGCATCCAAAGAGACTGCAAATGGGCAGGCAGATATGCACACGTGGGTGTCAGGGAAGGGACAGGACTCAGTGTATACACTGGGGAGTCTATCAGCTTAAGGATGGTATTTAAAAGTCATGGGACTTGCTGAGGTCATCATGTCTGCAGACAGGCAGAAGAGCAGCAACGCAAGAACAACGTCCTAGACAACGCTTACCTCAGATACAAATTTTGTTGTGGCATCACTTAAGGTTTTCAGCATTGGGGTTGCCTCAGCATAAAACAAAGACATTCGATTTGCCAATTCATTATTTACTTCATTTTCTCCTTCTGCCTGTGTGGAAAATAAGAGTACTTGGCATCAGTTCATAAATTATCAAATGTAATAACATTTATAAAAGAACCTAGGCAGACTGCCTTTCTCATTAATGCTTGTTAAATTAATCTACTAAATACTCTTATATGTTAGACCCTCAAGTACAAATAATACTTAAATATTCCTCAAAAACAAAAAAAATAAAAATGACATTAAGCAATTTTTAAAAGATTAATCTTTAAAACTATTTTAAATGATATTAAGCAATTAAATAAAACCTTGATGGGCTACTACTGTATACAAGGGATTGTTCTAGATGCTATGGAAGATAGGAAGATGACTGACAGTGCACTTGCCTCCACTGGGAACACACAAGAACCCACATAGCATCCACAACAACATGCTAAGAGATAATGACTGGAAAGGGGGGTGACACAGAGACTAAGTTAGACTGGAAGAAACTAAAATGGACTCATAGAAGGGTTAGGGTTTTGCAGGTGATGATGGGCAGGTATACAAGGTATTCCAACCAGTCAGGAGGAAAAGCATGTTTTCCAACGCCTGGGTAGAATGTAATTCCACGCAATTCAACGTATTCAGTGTAATAAGGGGCAGCAACTAGTGAAAGATAAGGTTGGAAACGAAGATTAGGGTCAGACTGTAGCTTAGGTTCGTATTTTTCTTCTGTGTAACGGGGAGCCACTTAAAGTGTGAGAAGAAAGGAATGACAATTAAGTCAATTTTCTAAAGAAACTTAACTGATGATAGTGGGCAGCCTGTACCAAAAAGAAAAAAAGACTGTAGGTCAGAAAATGAGTTCTACTGCTATAGAATGATTGCCAAAAAGAGAACGAAAACTAGGCTCTCCACTGGGACAGAAGTAAGAGATAAAAAGGAGGACAGGGAAGAGATTTCAGAGATATTTAAATTATGATGACTGGATTTCCCTATAATTTTTGAAGGTGAAAGACAGTACAAAGAAGACTTTAATGTCTTTGGCCTTGAGTGATAGAAGGATGGCTGTAACAGAGGATTGGGTGTTTTGCTTTTATTTTATATGGTGGATATAAAAAGACAGGTGATAAGGTGAGCCTCACAGCAGGACTTGGTCTATGCGAAACCAAACTGATGCAAATAACAGAGGCTTCATGGAGGAGAAATCCTTCCTCCAACCCAGGGCCTGTCTTAGAGAAACCACTTCAGAAAATATTTTTTCCACAAAAAAAAAAACATGAACAGTCTCCTCTGGTACTTTTTTTAACCTCCTATGCCACTTATCACTCCTTGCATGTTTATATAGTATTTCTTTATTAAACTATCTTCTTGAGGCTAGGGCTGATCCTAGAAATTTCTCTATTTTTTCACACCAATTAGCATGATACAGGTCCTCAAAATACCTAGAGAAAAAGATAATACTTTCTCCATATTTAAGGTTTTACTTATGGCATTTGACTCCTTGGAGGTAGAAAAGGCTATTAAACAGCTTAAGATGAGAAGTCAAGAGGCTAACAAGCCTAAAGATATCAGAAGAGACACTATTCTAGACAAGGAACAGGCACAGGGGACATTTTCTCAAACAGCCAGACTGGGAGCAGAAGTGCTCCAAGTCCATGACCTTGCTCTCCCCTCTTGCCAACATTAGTACTTCTCCTATCCCAGGTCAATTTCTCTCCAGGATTCTTCCATTCTAAGAATATGGGGACAAAAAACTCATAACCACTAATTCACAAAATTTTTGTGCAGTTAAAATGAGAATACAAAGAGAAATTTTCTAAGTATCAATGTTATACAGACAAAAAGCAATTTTATTGAAGTAGTCCTGGGAATTTAAGGGACTGAGTGGAAAAACAGGTAAACACCATACGGTTTACTACATTTTGCTCTTTCTTCCCACAGCTGTGGTTGCCCATAATTACTAACTTTATTACTAGCTTTAACTTTACCTGAATGAATGAACGAATGAATAGAAAAATAAAAGAATAAACTGAACAAATTAAGAGCTGAATTATTATCACCACCCCTTAATTCAAAGCATTAACTTACTGGAACATTATTAATCCTCATACGACTCAATGTTCTTCTATAATAGCTGAAATCATTCTGTATGGCAGGATTTGTCATCTAAAGAAGACATTTATGAAAGGAAAAGGTATTATGTACTAAACAATAGTGTAAAAACTAAGTGAAAAATCTACTAAATACAGTTTTAACCAGTTAAGTAACATTTCCTAATTTGTAATACCACTTTAAGAACTAAAACTGGGGGGACCAGACCAGCAGCATAGTGGATAAGTTCGCACGCTCTGCTTCAGCGGCCCGGGGGTTTGCAGTTCGGATCCTAGGTGCAGACCTACTTATCGCTCATCAAGCCATGCTGAGGCGGCATTCCACAAAGAAGACCTACAACTCTACAGCTAATACACAACTATGCCCTGGGGCCTCAGGGAGAAAAAAGAAAAAAAAAAGAACTAAAACTGGTATCATCTAAGAAGGCTCTCTGCACTTAAATTATATAACATTACTCAGTCCTTAATGAACATATAAAACTGTGCAGATTGTTTTTTAGTCACAGTCAGTATACTTTCCTTCTTCTTTTCAATCATTTCCAGGAATGTGTAGGCACTAGTTTTGAATTATTACAATATAAGTATGTATATATAGTCAATAGGGCAATTGAACAGACTAAAATTTTATATACAAGTGATTTGTGTACAAAGTATTAATAAGAGAAAAACTGTCTATGATATAATCATAAAATGTTGGAGTTAAGAATTCAGCTCTTAGCTCCTGATATGAAATCTAGTGTTTGTTTCTTTACACTCACTCCTTCTAAGAAAAGGATGTTTACAGGTAGATAGATAGGAAGGGAGAGAGCTGGAGACGGAGAGGTAGAGAGGGAGAGGGAAAGGAAGGGAGGGGGGGTGGAGGGAGAAAGGGGTGGGGAGGGGAGAGGGAGGGAGAGGGGGAGGGGGGAAGGAGAGAGGGGTGAGGAGGGAGGGGGAGGGAGGGAGAGCATGGGAGAGAAATACCTTAACATTTTTATATAAAAGAATGAGAGAGAGAGAGGGAGAGGGGGAGGGAGGGAGAGCATGGGAGAGAAATACCTTAACATTTTTATATAAAAGAATGTTGGGAAAAAATTGGGGACGAGCAGAAAAGAAAAAAATATTAGAAAAGTTCAACAGTCTTGTTTCAGAGACGATTTTTAAAACAAAGTTAAATGAAGACTGAATATTGGGTAATTTGCTATATGTTATGCATATATCAATAGACCTGCATAATTTTTAAATCCAGTTTTCCATTTTTGTTAAGGATCAGCAGACATCATTTAAACACATTTCAACAAGGTCTCCAGGCATTTCCTCCTAGTGCACATTGAAAGTCTCCTGATTTTCATAACAACCAGGGCCAGCAGAAAATCTTACCTTGAGTTCATCAAACCGGAGTGTAAAGTGAAGAATTTCTGCAAACTGTTTAGCAAGAGCCTGCTCTCGCTCTAGATGCTGGGTGGGCGAGTATGGGGTACTTGTCAAGGCTCCCAGAAGACCCCTTAATGCTGCTTCTGAAAAAAAAAGATAAAAATGTTAAGTGGTCTGTATCTCTCTGATATTTGTTTATTAAAAAGAGAGCAATTCTGGGGCCAGCCCGGTGGCACAAGAGATTAAGTGCGCGCGCTCCGCTGCGGCGGCCCAGGGTTCGCGGGTTCGGATCCTGGGCGCGCACCGACGCACCGCTTGTTGAGCCATGCTGTCGTGGCATCCCATATAAAGTAGAGGAAGATGGGCATGGATGTTAGTCCAGGGCCAGTCTTCCTCAAGAAAAAAGGGAAGGATTGGCATCAGATGTTAGCTCAGGGCTAGTCCTCTTCACAAAAAAAAAATAAAAAATAAAAAGAGAGCAATTTAAAAATGTTATAATTTTAATTCCCATAAAAGCAAGACCTCTTTAAAACCCACATTAGCTAAATATAATCACTCAAATTGAACACTGTTTAACAGAATAAAAACCTTAAAGAGATTAATTCAATTTTATAATTCTGTAAACTCAAATTCAAAACAATGCAGAAAGTGAATCTGAATTAAATACTAGGATTAAAGGGCAAATTTTATATTACTTTCACCATTCTACAGAGTGATTTTTTGAAATAGCAATTGTTACCTACAGCTGAATAACTTCAAAATGGCATTGTGTCCACAGTGAAATCTGCACGTGGCTATGAATGAATTACCAACTTACACTTTGAATATGCTGTTTATTTATAAACATAAACTGCTTTCTTTCAGCTACTAAAGGAAACAAAATATTTGCTTTAATAATTAGCTTCCCGAGTGTGTCAAGAGCTTGGCATCTCAGGACCATAATACAGACATTCTAACTCATTACGTAAATAAAATGGTCACACTGAAACAAGTGTTACTTTTGGAATGCCAGACTAATAAATATTGTGTTTAAAAATGAAAATACTAATATTTCACTTCAAAAAAATCATAGAAATCAAACTAATTCAGATACAGATTACAGAATCAGAAAAAAATGCTAGATTCTATTCAGATAAAACAAGACCTTACGGAGTTAGATGGTGATCTGACATTAATGAATAAATGTCAGATTAATAAACAAATGTTAATGATAATAAATTTATGTCAGATCATCAACCTTTAACTTAAAAAAACACCAGCTCTACTACTTATGAAGACCTAATTACGAACAACACCCATACTATGCGCTTAACCTCGTCTCTCATTTAACTTTCACCATTAACTATGACGTGGCATTACAGATGGATAAACTGAATTTCAAAGAGGTTAGACCCCAAGGAAATGGCTAGTAAATGCCAGGTGTTTCTGACTGGACAGCCCTATTTTTTTCCACCATAATAAACTGTTTCTCATATACAGCCACATTCTACCTAGCCTTCTGTAACCTTCTAAAATAGTAATCTACTGATTATGACCAATAGTCAGTAATTCTTATGTGTCTATCATGTGCCAGGCACTGAGCTAGACACTTTACAGACATTATTTGTAATCTACACAATAACTCCAAATGATAGCTATTATCTTCTTTTTATAGGAAGTCAGAAAATGTACTGACTGTCTACTATGGCCCAGGCACTGGGGAAACAGAGATGAAGACAGACATGCCCTATGCCCACATGGGGCCTAATGATTCAGAGAGAGGAAAGAAAATTATTACAGTTGTGACATGTGTTAAGCAGGGAAAGTACACAATACAATGGAAAGGTATAAAAATGAGGCCTTACCCACTTGAAGGCTCAGGAAAAGACCTCCCTAAATAAGTGACATCTGGGCTGAGAGCGGAGTGCACTAAGAATGAGCAAGAGTTTGCAAACAGACAGGGCAGGGAGCCAGATCCTGAGCGGAGCAGAGCATGACACAGAAGAACTGCAAGAAGACCAACATAAGAGGAAGAGAGAGGGCAAACAGGAGAGCAACCTAAGACTAACACACATGCATGTAATTTGTGTGCCACATCAAGCACCCTGGCCTTGTCATCCTATGTCCCTGGAGAAACTATTTAAGCACAATATTGATATCATCAAATTGGCATTTAAAAACTCCACTTCATCTGCAGTGTAGAAAATGGATTGTAGGAGTACGATGGATTATTGAGGTGCAAGAGTGGATGTGAAGAAGATCAATTAAGAGGAAAAACATTTTTTGGCTATTTTGAAAAATAATTCGCTTCTCCCAATATTCATTCCATGTGTCAGTGTTAATGTAAGTGGAAAGCAAAGTTTGAGAAGTATGAGAACAGGAAAAACCATTTTAAAGAAAACCCAAAAGACCAATACTGTTAGAGGCTGTTAAAAAAAAACAGAAATTTGCATTTCCTCGGTTTTATCAATCTCAGGGTTAATTTCAGCATTCACAGTGCTCTACCACTTTGGGGAATGGAAGACCCTCCTCCAAGGGGTGGAGTCAGCTCTCTTGGCTGAGTTGGGATGGCCAGTGACCGTAGTTGGAGAACTTCTGTCCATGAGTGGCTGAAGCCCTCAATGGCAGATCTATTAAAGGGAAACTCAAGATGATAACGCTGCTTATTTGCCTTGGAAGCCGCTAGATCAGCTTCTTAGCTTGGGGACCTCTGCTGATACAAGACAGCCTACTAGCCTACAATGCCGTGTCAAGAGAGGATTCAAAGACAGAGGATCCCAGAAAGTGGCCCAGGTCTCTGGCTGAGTTGGAAAAAAAGGGAGGTCAAAGAAGAGATGGCGTAGAGATTGATCTCTCTGATGAAGCTCCTAAAACAAAATCATGTGGTTATGGTCCTTAGAAAAGGTAGATGACAAAGAGGAAATTAATGGGCTGCTAAGCCCTAAATTCTGGAAGAAATTAGCTGGTAGAGCAGTGCAGACACCAAAATTATATAAGAAGGTTGCAAAGAAGAGAACAACTGGGAGAAATAACAAAGACAGATTAGGCCACAGTGCAGAACAAGAAGAGGAAACAACTGGATGAGTAGGAAGAGAAGGCCTCTGCAGAAAGTTCCCCTTTAGAGACAAGAGCCATTTATTCTCATCAACTGCCATCCATTTACTATCAAAGACCAGTCCTTGACTCCTCAGAAAAGAATCCAAAGGTTGTGTACTGGGGGGGATTTAAAACAGCCAAGAGACATGACCACAATTATGGTGGGCACTTTGGGAGCTTCTGAGTAGATTTTGATAAATTCAGTTCAGTGAAAAGGAGTCAACATATTGGATAGACTCACTCATTATGACCCCCGGAGGTGGTCCCTACAGCAAGTTCCTGGAACAGGAAGAAGACTGAGGAGACACAAAGCAGTTTGTTTACTGTCTATCAGACAACCTTCCCTCAGGCAGTTACCTCAACTGGAAAGGCCTCAGACTGAAACAAGCAAGTACAGGATGTTTTCCAGGCCAGCAAGTTTAAACCCTGTTGGCAAAGCTCAGTATCTTCCAAATTAGGCAAGTGATCCCTTCCCCATTCCTCTATAAATATGCCAACTGACAAGGGATCAGGATCCCTCTTCTGGAGCACACCCCATGATATATCTGTAGTGCTCAGGCCAATCAACAATCTCCTTGGGACCGCGAGCCTGTGAAGGACCATGTGCATCATGACAGCTGTGGGGCGCTGTGTGGTATCCATGGTGCTTAACCTCATCTGTGGCTCAGCAGTGAGGTAGGAAAAGAAGAGACAAGAGAGGTTTAGCGGTATATACAGCAGAGGGCTCAACAGACTGGAGGTCCAGATAGGATACTGAAGCTCAGAGAATTTAAGTGATGTGACCAAGACCACACAGCTAATAAGTGGCATACACCAGAATTCAAACATAGGCCATTATGCCTCCAAAGCCTAAAATCCATAATTATTGCTTTTCCTAAACACCCAACACATATTTGATATATCAGCTGTGTGTATTCATTAATCCATCACTCACTCACTCATTCATTCAACAAACATTGAGTTCCTATCATTTGCAAACAAGAGTATGCATCCTGTCAGCAAGGAAACTGGAAACATTATTGACCAGGTTATTGGCCAAGTAATGAGGAGTAAACCATCAGATCTTAAATTTGTACTTTGCTCATAAATTTACAGAAGCCCCTAAACTACAACAACAAAGGTTCAAGGCTCCCACATGACAGCATGAAAATTGCTATTTCACTATTACCTGTGTTACTATACCCCTCTGCTGAAATGGAACACAGCACCCATGATGGAACACACACCACTAGCCTGATTTAATTCCAACAGTTAAAATAGAAGAAAACATGTAAAGCCTGACTGGTTTGGCCTATTTTACAATTTTTTGTACCGGCAAATGCTAAGAGACCAAGATAAGCTTGAGTAGGAACTGAGCACCACCTAAAGCAATTTAACTTGAAAGGCAGCTAGGAATTAGCAACAAAAGAGAAACTCTAAATAAGTGGGAGTCAAGACAATTAAGACTAAAAGACCTAGGCTCTCTGAGGTTACAAAGCTACAGACTACAGAGAAACTTGATTGAAAGGCTAGTGTGAAAGAACTGATTGTCATGCTTGGAAAAATAACTTAAAATTCTTACTTCTAGTAAGAAAAGGATAATTTACACAAACAGTTCTATCTCAACTATTATTTGTCTTTACATTTAACAGTCCGTACGGCATCTAAGAAAAAATCGCCATTCTTACTTTTTTTAAAACATAGGCACTTTTAAAAAAAATAGAACTTTAATTTTAAAACAGCCACACAAATGGCCAAATAGCTAATATAAAGGTATAAGGAGGGCAAGATATAAAAAACTAGGACATGACAGGGACCTATTGCCAAGTAGAAAGCACATGACCTAACAAACACAGGGATGGTTTGCCACTTAGCTTTGGCCAAATGAGATGCAGATCAATTGATCAATCGTTGCCTAAGCTACTAGTCTTCCCAAAGCAACTGGAGACAAAAAAAAAAACAGAACACAAAACCCAAATAATTCCCAATTTTTAAACCTGGCAACCAATTACGAATTTTAAAAGACTGTGTGGGCCAAACAAATCACATTTCAGGTCTAAATTTAGCTTATGAGCCCCCGTTGACTTCTATCTTATAGTCTGGTTTTCTTATCAAATTGTATTACTCATTTAGAATATGTAACACGTTCGTACGATTCAAAAACCAAAACTATGTAAAAACGTGTCAAGAACTTAAAAACTAAACGTTTCAGATTTCTGACATACGCGTATACTGTTCAAAAACCAAAACTATGTAAAAACATGTGTCAAGAACTTAAAAACTAAATGTTTCAGATTTCTGACATATGCGTATACCGCTCCTCCACTAAGCCCACAACTTCACCAAGTAAAGCCCTTCCAATTTACATCTTTCAAATTACATGAGCAGCTAAACCTTACCTGCTCTGCCTTCTTCCTTCTCCAAGAAAGGGAACTCCAACTTTGCTTACTCAACGTAGTGAAGGCACAATTCTCATCTTTGAATAAGTTTTCCCATGCAAGGGAAAAAGCAAATGGTCTTGAATTCTTTTTGCTTTAATAACTCCTTAGATAATTTTGGGTGTATCATTAGCTTCCTATTTCTCATCCTATACAGTTTTAGATACATGAACTGATCATAATCAGCAATGATTTTAAGAACACAAAGATCTAAATAACCCAGGAGCCTGAGGATTAGTTCCCACATATGGGAAAGAATTTGCTGTAGAGCTGGAGAGAAATTCTACCAAGTGGTTTCTCATAATAGGACCCTTTAGGTTGCAGAGATTTCCTTGTGCAAGTCATAATTTGTCGAGGAAAACGTCTAAGTGAATTAAAGACCTGGGTTGATAGAGATGATAAGAAGATCACGCTGTAATCTTATAGTCTAACAAGCTTGCTCTACCTATGTAACATACAAATTGAGCAATGTGAATATAAAATACTCTCAATAACATCTAGCATCAATAAATGTGTTTTTCACTAGGGAAGTAATATAAAACTTTCAACTTACCTAACCTCTGAGAAAATTCATAAAATTTCTTTAATTTGCCTACTAGTGGAACAACTGCACCCCATGCCTTCTCTTGCAACTTCTCATCTGCTGGATGCTGGATTGCCTTCAAAATCCAAGGAATAAAATAGTTAGAGTTTTAAAAATCACAACAGTGTTATTTTTACATTAAAAAAAAAAGGTTCTAGCAAACATAGGAAACCCTGGTATAATCTACAAAATAAATAATAATGGACCCAGGAATGCTGAGAGTGGGCCTTCTCAACTCCATGGATACTTTAAACCTATTATAATACACTCTTAGTCACCCTGCAATGGATATGGATATAATGGAATAAAAAACAACACAATCTATGTTTGTTAAATATATTATGCTTTGATACCTTTTAGAGTCACAAAAAAGAAACCACTTTATATTGTTTCCCATATCACAGACAGGCTTTCTTAGTTCTTTGTCTAAGAATTATTTTAGTGGAATAAAAGGAAACCAAAAAAGTAAGTCAATAAATGAAATAAGATGCCAACTCTGGGAAGAGGCTACGAAACTTCCAATAATTCAAATTCCAGGGTCCAAACTAGCTTTACAAAACCTAACAAACACTTAAGAACCTAAATCAACCTAAAAAATGTGATTTAGAAGTTGTCAAAGATTCTTATTCCCTCTAACTAAACTCTTATTCTGGAATCCAGGTTTTCTCAGGATTTCCTGAATAAGGTGGTGAAAAACTAGTTTCAAGTCTGAAAGGGGAGAAAATAAAACATAACCTAGAGACTCTAACATAAACAGGAATATGCCTCTTTCTTTGCCTAGTCTTTCAAACCATCAGGCAATCGTTTGCGAATATAGAAAGTTATTCCCCCAAAAATATATTTTCTTGCTTTCATCTTCCTTTTGCTTATAGATGCTTTTCTTAATCCTTTATGGAACTTAATGCTTTTTTCAACAACCTGGTTTGCTTTCTCTAACATCTTCAAACAAGCTAAACACACCATCTGAAAGTTGCAACTCATAACCAAGGCAGGGAGCCTGCTTATAAACATTATTAGGAGGTACCTACATGTTTAGATATTCCCAAGGCACTAGTACTCTGACTCCATCCACATAAAACCAAAAAAAAGAAAAAAGCAAAATAAAATTGAAACCAGAGAGAATTAGAGGATGCTCTGAATAAATAAGCAACAAACTAAATAAATGGGCTATACACTGTTTAAGCAATTTGTTTTATAAGCTTGCTACTGTAATCAAATTTTCTTGACTTTTTATATAAAAAATTTTTAAATGATGCTTAAACACAAGAGGAGTCTGAAGTAAATCTCATTTATGTGACTGATTGGAAATATTTTAAACTGTTATAGAAATTTGACACTACATGTAATAATCCTTATTTCACATTATACTAATATGAATATTTCAAAGGGACTGTGACATTATCCTGCTGTATATAAAAAAATCCTTTTAGCCTCAAGCCCAAATTCAGTAATGTTTTATATCAAGTAGTAAAAATCTGCTTATTTATTATTTAGGAAATAAGCAAACAGATAAAATTTTTGAATTTATTTTCTTCTCTTGAGAAGCCTATTCAACTTTTCTTGCAAGGATCTAAAAATGATTTTCTAAATATCTACTCAATCGCGTAATACCAAAACGATCTAGCAAATGTCACCCATTTTCATGACTTAGTAGAGTTAACTATTTCCCTGGCCCTGTCTTGCCTGGATTTAGAACTGAAGACACTGGCTGCTCCTTTAAGACAACATTTTATGGTTCTCCTTTTAATTCTGTTTCCTTCTCCTTTCACATCAGTTTCATTGCTGTTAAACAACGTTTTTGGCACCGCATCCACTACGGACAACATGCAAAGGGCACTTAGTAAATGTCAATGATGAGGTGGTCGTGGAGCAGGTATTCTAACTCTCATTTTCAACAATGCTACAACTGATATGGACGTATCAAAACATTAGTGCAAAGTTTTTATTTCACTCTCTAGTGGTTTATCCTAGAGAATAAGCTTTATTTATTTAATAGATTCTATCTTAAATTTCATTCTATCTTCGAGTCATGTTTAATAAAATGCTATTTAAACAAAATATATATAATTCCACATCATTAGCATAGCAATAATGGTAAACTCGCAGTCTGTGTTCTATGTGTCAGGCATTGTGCTGTGCTGTTTACATGGATTATCTAACTTTATCCTCAAAACAACTCTACGAATTACCTCCACATTTTTGCTACCATGAATAAGGCGGCCATGAAAGTTTTTACATTTATCTCCCTCTTGAATGGTAGTCTTTTGGAGAGCATTTTCTAAAGTCGTAAGTATCTGGTGCAAGAGCAGAAATCATTTGGGCTGGCCCGGTAGCGTAGCGGTTAAGTTCGTGCACTCCGCTTTGGCAGCCTGGGGTTTGGTCACAGGGTTAAGAGCTCCTGGTTTCACAGCCCCAGATGCCCTCTTTGAAATGACCTATATATAAACTTTTCTATCATTTTATTCTCTTCTAGAAGATTACAACTGAATCTTAATATGCACTCAAATTAATATAAAGACTTCAGGGAAAACACTATTTTTATTATAGTGAGCCTTCCCACACAGAAGCAGAGTAACCCTTCCACCACTTGGGAAGTTTTTAAAAAATCCTAATAGTTCTACTTAAAAAAAAAAATCAAATGGGTAATGGTCTTTGTCTCTATAATGAATGAGATATTTTTTCTTTATTGTTTATGGGAGACAACTATAAACAGTTGATAAGAATTCAATTATAAAACAAACTTTAACAAGTTTAATGATATAACACTGACGAACAATTAAAAATAATTTGTAGCACTAATAATTAACATGAGACACTATGAAACATTTTTTAGAACAACTTGTGAATTGGTGTGACCTATAGGGAAAGAATAATTTATCAATTGGTAAATTAAGATCCTGCTTAATCATTTAAATCTTCAATTTCCATAGGTGTTTGACTTTTCAAAGTACGTTTAAATGTTTAGAGAACTTGAATTTTACAGAAATGGTTACATGCCTTCCATACTGAAATCTTAAGGTTGTGCTTAAGGTAATGATATCGGCACGATTAGTGTAAAGCTCTTATTTCTTCAATAGCTACTAACTGCTAGTAAGCCCTGCACTACGTGCGGATGAGACAAAAATTAGTAAGAAACCAGGTTTACCCTCCTAGAGCTGGAGGTACAGTGGTGGAGAGAGAAACGTCAAATACCAAAGGCTTAAAAAAAAAGTAATGGTTCCCATAAAAGAAACGTGTGTAAAGTGCTAGGGCAAAAGAGGAAGGGAGAAGCAGGGGTTTTTTGGGATTTGCAGGAAGGACAGGAATTGAACAGGAAAAGAAAAAAGGAAGGGCATATTCCAGACAAAAACAAAGGCAAGGAAGAGTACATGTGCAAGACATTTGGGGAACAAGCAATCCAGTGCAGGTGAGGTGAAAAATAGAATTCACATTATCTATAATTTCCCTCAGTTAATGGATCACCAACTGCTGATCTAAACTAGAAACCATGGCATCATTTAACCTCCCCTTCCCCTTTATATTAAATATCCAGTCAATCACCAAAACCTGTGGCCCCTTAGTCCAAAACATTTCTCGAATCATCATCTTCTGGTGTCTGCACTTAATTCTGCCTTCACCAGGACTCCAAATATCATTAGAGAAATTGAGCTGGATATGGATTGTAAATCCAATAGACTGATCCTTGATAATCTCTGTACTATTAGTTATAGAGAAGAATAATAGAAGCAGAAGGTGGGGGGAAAATGAAGAAACAAAGTGTAGGCTATGCCTTGAAGAAATGTGGTAATAAGAAAGAGCGAAGGTTCCAAGGCTAGGGAGTTTCCCTGGGTAGTACAGAACACCTGAGTACGTGTACATACCGAGGGGAAGAAGTCAATAAAAGAAAAAAGATAGAAGATGTAATTAAGAGAAGGAATAATTAGAAGAGTAAAGTTTCAGCATAGGAGGGAGAACAAAGGTAGAGAAGTCAGTCTTGGTAAGAAGTCTTTCGGAAGGGACATAGCTTCTTCTGAAAAAAGAGATATATGGAAACTTGCATAAGTTCAGAGGTTAGGAAGAAGAAAGTTGAGGGAGACCACACCAAACATCTGCTCTGTGTTGTAAAGTCATCAGACAGAGTTAGAGGAGTCCAGACCACAAGGATGATTTCAGCTTCCTCCTAGGAAGCTTAGGAGGAACGGAAAAAACAGAGTGGCAGAACAAAAAGCCACAGAGTTATGTTCTCTCCTCCCCTCCAAAAAAAAGTATAAAACAGTCCCCCATGGATACTATAAATTTCAGGTGTGAGAACAACCAAAACAATAAACAAAATTTTTTTTAATATACATAAATTACATATTTATAGAACACTGTTTTCCTTTTACCCTTATATCACTGCAACCACTTTTGAAATAATGCAAGTGATCTTCCTTTAAATATAATACTTAACACACAACAGAGAGTTCTCAAGTATAGGCAACAACAGAGATGAAAAAGAAGAGGGACACACTGATTTTTAGTTTATTGGAAAATGTTTATGCTTTACCTCTCGTATTTCATGGCCAGCTCCTCTATATGACTGCAAGTCCTCCAAGATGCCTTCTGCATCTTTTAATACTACATTCACCTGATTATAAATTTCCTTCTCAGACTCTGTAGGCTGGGCATCTAAATAGCAGGAAAGCACAAGAAAATTCACAGTCACATGATTTTTTTTTTACTACATGTATAACTCTAAGCAATTAACAATCCAAATACCTAAAGATGACTAACATTTTCTTCAATGTTAACTTTGCACTTCTTAGAAACGACTGATAACTTTTCCACAGTTCTACATTTGATTAACTAGCCTCAAGTTTGTAAATATCACAAAGAAGTAAGGAAAGAGCAAACATTACTATTTATTTTAGTTACAAATCATGACTTGGTATATTAAATGAACTTGAGGATTATAACTCAAAATTTACACTGTGATCGTGTTAATCACCTTTTCTGCTATATTCATCACTATCGTAATGACTGCAAATGCTTGAGTAATGATCTATTTTAAAGCAACAGAAACGAAAGGCCGACTAATATATCTTGCTCCTCTATGGTTTAAGGCAGAAACTACTTTATTTTCCCATAAAGTTCACTTTTAATGACTGAGTTTTGACATAAATAATTAAGAAATGTTTTGATAAAAGAATAGTGTTCAAATGCTCCCCTTTACTAGGGACCACTTTAAATCCTGTACCAATGAACTTCTCTGCTGCTGAACACAAGGGCAACAAGATTCCCATGCAGAGGAGTTCAATTATGAAACTGCTCCAGAATTACTAGGCTGCTGAAAATTGGACACTTTAAGCTACAATGCTATCACTGAAATTTTGAAATACTAAAGCAAAAATTGAGTTCCTATATACTTGGGATTGAGTGAAAGAAAAATGAAGGAAGAACTGTAGTTATAAAAAGCATAATCAGGAACACAAACATACGGGCATTTCCACCACCTGTGGTGTTAGCCACAAAACACAGGTTAATGGATGACTAAATCTGGATTTCTCTCTGCTAGACTCCACGTAACAGAAATCCTGTTTTTAATAACTTCGTCATTTGCTTCTCTAAGGATAAATCTTTTTTATTTAACACATTTGATTATTTTTTGGAGGGGGGAATGGGCACTCCGTGAGGAAACTGAGTTTTTCATAAATCTTTCCAACTACACCACATTCAGTATCACAGATAAGGCATAAAGCACTTAAAATGATAAACATTATGATTACCATAATGTTTTAGAGAGAAATTACACTGGCAGAACACCTCCATGCTGAAATTTCTTCTTATGGGGCTAGGGGAGGCAGACCAAATTTATAAACTGAATTAAGAACACTTCTTCGTTTACCAATCATATAAAACTAGTATCTAGATATTTCTGCATGCTCTTCACCTCCCCACAAATACACAATGATCTATATATTCCTTTCCTTAGAAAATGTAAAGAAACTTAGTTCACACATGAAACCAGAAGTTTAACTGTAACTTTATTTGTGCTTGGGGCATGTCATAATTCAATTCCACCTATTAACCTGCCAACTAGTCAAAAATATACCACATATTTCAACAATTACAGTACCAAATTTTAAATTCAAAATACTTAAAACAGGACTACAGCAACAATAATAACATTCACATGCAAAGCCAACTTAAGACTTTGTGTTCTCATATCTGTTCCCTTATTTTTCAAATTTCCTTTCAGAAATCATGTTTTCTTTTTTAATGAAAATACTATGACAAAATAATTACACAAGAGGAGCCAAATGAAAAATTAAAACGACTCTGTGTCCAAAGCCATAAAGGTATTACTAGGAGCAAATACTGATAGAGTAGCTAAATGATTCTTTAAAAATCAAAGTTTGTCATTTAGCAGTAATATTTTTTCACATTTAGCCAGACCATATTCTCCAAAGTAATAGTTAGACACACACTCTAAAAAGTACACCTCATAACTTTTATACTTACACTAGATGCAGTAGAGAAAAATACATTTTACATGCAATAACAGCAGTTTTATAATTTTTCTTATGGAATTGTGAAACTACAGACATAACATCAATAGTAGACATATCATAGTTTGAATTCATGAAGTGGGAATTCATGACAAAGGACAATTTTTTGACTATTAAATATCAAAAGATATTTGTGAAGTTTAAAAATACTAAACTATGTATTTTTGGTGTGGTGACTAGTTGCTAACAAAAAAAATGCGACACTGAGACTTACATACAAAAGAAACATTATCAGGCAGATTTAGATAGACCTTGGAAGTGGTTAATAATTATTAAAGGTTTAATAAGTACCAAGAAATTTAAAATGAAGGAGAATATTACAGGTTCCCCTAAGGGTGAAAAAAAATACCCAGCACCACACTGATTAAACATTTTTTAGACTGTCACAGAAAAGTCACATTTATAATTTTGAAAGCTGCTGAAGACTGCTGTAGAAATGAAGACAAACAGAAAATAGCAGACAGGTAAGCACTACTTTACTGATAGCAAGTCATGCAAAAGGGTGAAATACCAGGGAGGGGAAAAGGCTATATAAAGTAAAGCATTTTTTCAAAAAATGGTATCATATAATGCAACCAAGACTTGTCACTTTGATTTTTCAGAGCAAAGAATGAAAAATTTTATTCCTTGAAGAAAAATGTTCCACTTAGCCAGCTACTAAAAGGACATTCATTTGATTGCAGAATAATGTATCTACTACTGAGAGTAGTATGACTGATTACTCATCAAGCTTAGTTTAAAAAGCTGTTCAAGGGAAATTAAAGCATGTTTCAGTTGCTCTTATTGTTTGAAGGTAAAATTAAATATCTTAATAACTTCACATTAGCTTCCTATGGAAGAGTCACTGAAAATAACTGCTAAAATTGAAGCTGCTATGGTACAAAAGGAGGCAAAGATCAGCTATAAAGGAAAAAAATAAAAAGTCACATAAAAATTATAATTGTGAAAAGGGTTTTTTCTGCTTTAATCTTGCATTCATTTATTCAGTAAATGTTTACAATCTATCTCCATAAGTCTCATTGAGGCAGGGACCTCAACGTATAGTACAAACCACTGTACTATAAACTCAGTACCTAGTAGATTTTCTATAATAAATATTTTTTGAATGAATGAGAAGGTACAGAGATATAAATATGCCTCCAGCATGAGTTAAAGGAGGCTATTATGCATTTTTATCTCTGAACAAATACAACCCTATATCATTTTAGGAAAATAAATATAAAAAAATGCCTCCAGAATAAAGATATTTGAAAGTACAGGGCAAAAACAATAAAAAATATGCAAGAGGTAAAATGGAAAAATAAAGTTAGACTAAAGGGGTGGGTATCAATATTTTTAAAGATGGGGGAAACAGGTAACATAAAAGACACAAGAATTAGAGGAAATGGATGACTAAATGAAAAGGCACTATAACAAAGAATTAGAGAAAGTAAGATTCTATTCTCATTTACAAATGACCACCTATACTTACTCTCCTATTTTGGCCTACTTGGAGATAAGCAAATCAAGGTTAACTAACAAATACTGGACTTCCATCACTTACAAAGCACTATGTTAAAGCTGGGAAGGGGCGTGAAAATAAATACAAGTCCCTCTTCTCCCAAGAACCACAATTTAGTGAACTAATAGATGTAGTAGTTACTCAGGCTAAAGATTAGTCATCAGGAAGAGCCATAAATTAACAATGTCATAAAATAATTCCAAGAACTAGAAGATGCTATACAGGCCCCAATTCAGTGCTTTTTATATGATGTCATCAGCATAACTGCTGCCAAATTTTATTGAGTAATTCTGGTCTTATATTTTAACTGAACCGTTATTCTTAATTAAATACAGTTTTATCATATAGGTATAATTGGTTTTAAAAGACCCTCTTTCTAGTACCTCAAGAGTAGATAACAATATGTTTCATTGAACTCAGAATGTCATTTCATGCCCTGAACCTTTGTACATGTTGTTCCTTCTTTCTACAATGTCCTTCACTAAATTAGCCTGAACCATTCTAACAGACCCTCCACAACCCAACTCAAATAGCATCAGAAAGTCTTCCACGATGCCCAATCTACTCACTACTAGATAAAGTTAATCTCTTCCTGATTTACACCTCGAATGTAAATTATGTAAAGGAAATTATTAGTTTGCATTTCTGTCTATCCTACTAGATTGAGAACTCCCCAAAGGCAGTGGTTGTATCTTAGTTATCTTTGCATCCCCAGCTCCCACTGGCTGGCATCCAGGAGGCAAGCCATTAATGTATGTTGAACTGAAGTGAAAAACAGTATGTGTGTGCACACGTGCATAAATTAAGGGAGTAATGACTTACTTTAGACATAATCTTCATTTTGTAAACTACAGGATTCCATTAAATTATGTTTTAAATGTACTAGGACAGTTAATTTGTATATACCTTAATGCAAAATGCCAGTATATCTATCCGTATGAAATTATTTCTATAGATGCCCAACCACAGAGACACAATGAGCTAGATTTAACCAATTAGAATGATGGAAACAGTAAAACTAAATTACTCTTGTAACCTGAATATTACTGTTCATCTAAACAATGAAGCACTAAATACTCTATTTAATAAAAGAATGTGACTTTATTCTCAGTAATCATAAGGAACTGGCAGATCAACTGTGTTGGCAATTTTGAGTCTGGTATAAAACAGTTTAAGAGAGGACCCATCAGATGGGCTAAAGTCACTATAGTAGCCTGACGATAAGGTAACCTTTTACAAATGCATATTTCCAAAAAGACAAATATGCAAATATCCAGATGAGAGTTAAAATTGATTAAGAGAACTCTAATGTTAGACTCAAAAGAAAACACTTAAAAATCTAAGTAAGAAATAACTATGGGCAAACTCTGGCCCACTATACAGTATGTTTTCACTAACTTTCATTTACAGTATGCCAGTAAGTGTCAAACCAAAAGTTCTACAATTAAGAAGTTAACACTTTATGTGTACTTCTTCATTATGGTTATTGTCATTGTTGTTAGCAATTTTAACCTTTTCCTGCCACTAAATTAGCTATTTAAATTTTAAGGATAATGATCCAAATCTCCACAGACTGGAAAACCAAGACCAAATACTATTTTAAATACTACAGTAAATTCAGGCTTCTGACTTGACCACAACATAATGCTAGGCTTGTAAAAAGATCAAGTGCCAAGTCTTGAACAAGATCTTGACTGTATCAAAGCCAAGATTCTGCAAATGAAAGGAATTTGAGACAAAGAATAAAAAGGAGACAGAATAGCAGAAAAATATACAAGACCAAGATTGAAACAGACGCAAATAAAGTACAGCTCTAATGTAAGTTGCCTCATCTGAAAGGATAATCTTCAAGTCAGCAATCTGTTCAACATCCCCAAGCTGATTAAAATTCATGCTAAACATGCACTTAAAATAGCATTGTTAAATTGTTGAGAAGGGTCAAGAAAACGAATATTCATTTAATAATATTTTCCCCTAAAAACCCAACAATTTAATATGGTCCTGATATTGACATTACTACTCTTTGCTAGCCTACACACAGTACCCAAACTGTAACAGAACACTTATAGAAATGTAATAAAAGTAGAAAAATATCAGAGACCACAAATTATTCCATAAAATGGAGATAAGCTATAAATTGATGTGTTCAGATAACTGTCCTGGTTTAAAGAAAAAATACATAAATTATTCATAAAATAGAATGAATTATATAATATCACATACACTAAATTGAAGGTGATGAAAAATGCAATGACGATCTGGGAATTTATTTTAAGGAATTTGTTTATTTTGTTTTTAAAACCAGAAAGGTCTTAAATTTTAGGTATTTAAAAATCTGTTCAATAAAAATCCAAGGGATCACACGATTTATAAGTTAAGGGCTATCTCTTCACCCTTTCCTAACAATTTTATTGTGATTAAAATAGCAACATTCACACTAAAACACCAATTTAATATCATTGTTCTCAATTTGACAACCAGACAAGCTAAAGCAATACTGACAGCCAAAAAAGCAAAAGCTTTTCAACATGCACGGGGGTCAATGACACTTACCTGCCACTCTCAGACCATATTACAATAGGTCATGCAACATAAAACAAACAGAAGGCAAATTACTTAAAGGTCTGTGAACCCATTATTTTTCTTTTTATTTAGAGTTAGAAAAAAATGAATTCCTGAAATAAATACATATAATGAATTTCTCCACTTTTCAAATTATCTGCAAAGATTAAATAATTAAGGTTCACACCTACCTTTTAATATTATGCCCAAAATACTGAGCTTTGAATGGCCTTCATGAACAGATTTATATTTAAAATACTTCAATAGGTACATAGAATAATTGAAACCTAGTCAATTTTTCTCAGCTGCAATAAATTTTTCCCCGAATATTGTCTCTATTACCAATTTTTGAAGTAGCATTTGCCCTTTCCATCAAAATTTCTTCTTAAGAATGTTTTCATTAGAGAATCTCAAATGTTTTCATTAGAGATCTCAAATTATAAAATAATGTCCAACTAAGAGATATGAATCTCATAAAAATTCAAGCGAAAACATTTTATCACAATTTAATCTATAAAATATGACTTCCAGTTCTAGAAGGCACTAGAAATTTTACTCAAACAATTCATAGCTCAGTCATGCAAAGCAGTTAAAAAGATGGCAAAGTGGAAACATTCATTTAGTGCAAGACAAACGCAGTCTACTGCAGGCAAAGAGAAATAGATATAAAATCATCTTCTCACTTTCAAAATCAAGGAAAAAATTTGGCCCCTGCTCAAGGTCTGTGCATGTCAAAACTTTAAGAAGATTCCCCATGTTAAGGTACCTGTCAAGACAAGAATGAGAAAAGAGAAAATATCCCTTTATAAAAAAGAACATCTGAAATTTTTTTTTTTTTTAAATAGTAACAGGGAAAACGTTCATTAGGCCATGAATTCGTCCTTCAGGTTACCCAGACTGTGCTCTGGCAGACAGCAAACCGGGTTCTCAAGGTGTTGATATGTAGGACCTAGAGGTGAAATGTGGTTTTCCTGTACACAATGGCACAACTGTTGGTCTAATTCTTCTCAAAATTCTCCCAAGACAAGTTTCATTAATGGCCTTATAATGAAAAATTCTGTAAGTATTCCAATAGTGCTAGTATTCTGAAAAAGAAATTTCTGATCAATAATTATTCACATGTAATCTTCACACTGCACTGAAACAACAATTTATTTCAAAGCCATATATTAAGACTTTGGCCACAGCTCACCTTTGCATTTCATATTAAAATAGCAGAATATTAAACTTACTTCCCGTATGCCATTAAGTAGACCATATATTTCTAACCAAATTTGGATTATTAATAATTTGCAGAGGTTATTTAAAGTATTGATTCTGGATATGCAGCACAATTCTAATTTTTTAGAAAATTATTGCCGGATTATAAGCAAACAGATTGTTGGGCATCACTAAGGCATACTGTTAGAATGTTCATCATAAGGCTACTTGCTTCATGGACTAATGAAAGGACAGCACTGGCTACAGACTCAACATGATTTTAGCAAATGGAAAAACTAAAGAATTATACATATGATGGTGATGTTTGCCTACGATTAAGAAAAAAAATCATGCAAACTTTGTTTGATCCCCATATTTTATTAACGAATATTTTGGCTGGCCTTCACTGTGGTGTGAGCATAATTAATCTTTCACCTTTACCATTATGCACCAGCTGTGAAGGGCTAAAGAGACTTACTTTCAAAGTCCAAGAAAAAATGTGCTGCATTGTGGTCTATGTCCCTGGTTAGCACCTTAATGAGATTACCCATGCCAGCAAACCTAAAAATAAAAATGGCAACGTCATTTAGTTCCAGTAAAAAAAATTTTAAGCAGAGGCCTGGGATTTGGCAAAGGCTGGCTTGCTCATAATTACCAACAGGTGCAGGTTTATATGCTTCTAGCATTGAAAATTTGGAACAACAAAAGCACATTTGGCTCTGAGTTTATAGTTACTGTCCCTCTTTTCCACATATCAAAAAAGTTACATAAAGCAAGATTGGAAAAAAGATCAGATTTTTACATATAACTTGCAATATTTACATTTGATTAATATCTATGCTAGGCCATGAATTCATCTTTCAGGTTACACAGACTGTGCTCCTTTAAATGTTTGAGGCATATATTCTCAATTTAAATTAACATCAAAAATAGATTTCTCAAATAAGTAAATATTGAGACCATTATTTTTAAATAATAGGGATATTTTCCTTCTTGCAGAATCAAATTCTGTTGGGAATACAAGGAAGATAGTATTCAAACCACATTTAACCATTAAAGACTGAAGGGAGTTATCAATTAATGACCCATTTAAAAAATTTGACCACACACAAACCAATGTTTCTTACATCTTCTATACTCCTAAGATTAATCAAACTTTTTATTATTTAACTCATAGATTGGTTTTTCAACAAGATCAACTATATACAACCATACAAAGTACGTAACCTGGAAGTTAACATAGCAAACAAGCAGAAAAGGAGCCAGCAATTATCACAACTTAGTAAGCTTGCAAAGGAAAAACAGTAAAAATAAGGCACTGTCATCAATTTTTCCCAAGAATTTGCCATGACTCAGTGAGGATGAAGGTGGAAGGAGGTGTCAGGAACATCCAGGAAACCAGGTTCAAACTTGGAAGCTGCAGCAACCAAAAGGAAGGCAGACCATGGCACCCTGCAACCCCCCTTCCCCAATCTCAATACTTTTTCTCCCAATATGGAACTGCTGGCAAATGTAAATGAAACAAATAAAAGTAATAATATCTTTATCAAGAAAGAAGACACCTTATTACTCACCCCCATTACAAGAAGTCTTGAGCACTTGGGGCCGCCTGTGCTGTCCCAGCCCTTCCTCCACCTAGTCCCTGCACAATGGCAGAACCTTCCTCACCTTAAGCTTCCCAAAGAGGAAATAACAGTATATGTATACACATAACAGCTGTTTGCTTTAGAGGTCAAAGTCTGATGGACTGACACAGACACTTCATAGAAAATGTTTAAAGTAATCTAATTTATTCACAAATAAGATAAATACTGAAGGGTCCTCTCTCTTTTAAAACAATATTCTCCCAATGGGAGAGGTAGAAATCTATCTTATTTTGGTATTAAAATCCCTATTACACAGAATTTCACTGGAAAGATTTTGTAAAATGTTTTACACAGATGGATTAGCTAAGACTAAAACTAAGAGGAAAATATTTCTCTTAACTATCTAATATATTGTAAAAAGTTTAATAATACCAAACTTTTATATATAAGGAAAATATAAGCATTTTTTCAAAATCATCATATCCAAATAATCACCCCAAATTGGTTACTACATTTATTCAATAGATTTTTTTTTTTTAGGAACCATTTGGAAATAGGGTATTTCACAGCTTCAATTTTTAAAAGCTTTCAAATATATATGGAATATCTGTTTCCAAACATATATAAATTCTCTCACTAACAAGAACTGAGACCAAATATACAAAGAATTACCTGGTGGTATCAAAACTTCAACTATAGATGGGAAATAAGCATGAGAAAGGACTGTAATTGTCTCTTTTTTTTTAAGCTTCAGTGCATGGTTGTGTATCCTAGTTGTTTCTTTTAATCCTTTATGTGAGCTGCCACCACAGTAGGACAACTGACAGACAGGTGGTGTGGTTCCATGACCAGGAAACAAACCTGGGCCGCGGGCAGTGACAGCGCCGAATCTTGACCACCAGGGCTGGCTCTTTAATCGTCTTAAAGAGGAAAAAGGCAGCACACCATTTGGTGTTAAGAGTTTAGTCTATGGAATCACACCAGAATTCTAACTCTAGCTTACTAGCTGTTTGACCTTGAGGATGCTGGTTAACGCTTCTGGGACTCATTTTCTCATCAGTAAAATATACATAACCATAGTAACAATCTTAAAAGGTTATTATTAGAGTTCAATGAGATTAAGCACTGACTTAGCACAGTGGCACACAGAAAGCATTCAATAAATGTTCGGTGTTGGTATAATTATAACCCAAAAATCACAAAATAATTTTAAAAAATAATGGTTCTATTTCTTTTCATACAAACCAGAGTCTCCAACTGATCACTGAATCTCAATGTTATAAATCAGAATAAATCACGAAGCCCATTTTTGTCAAGAATATTGTTGAAATGCTGTCCTACAGTTAGTCCTATGATACCATCATCAGGCACAGGAGGGAGGGAGAAGGGAGAAGTCAGGCTTCCTTACTGTTTTATGTGTATGCACACAGTCGATCCTCAGGGAGAATGCTGAAACTAGCCAAGTTTGACTGCTCCATTTTCCTACATCTCCTTCTGCAAACTTCTTCCACTAGTTAGTCCTCCTTTCGAGGCACCCCAGCCTAACATGACCCTACAGGCCTTACCCTTCACCATCCTTGGTCCTGACCCATTCACTCTTCTTACCTCTTCATTCCAAACAGAGACACTTAGTTTGAAAATGGTCCAGTTTATCTAGTACAGCTTTCTCAACCTCAGCACTATTAACATTTGGGGCTGGGTAATTCTTTTGTGGGGCGGGGCGGGGGGGGGGTCTGTCTCAAATTGTAGGATTTTTAGCAGCATCCTGGGCCTGTCTGTACACACTAGATGCCAGTAGCAACCTACAAGTTGTGACAACCAAAAATGACTCCAGATATGGCCAATGTCCCCTTGGGGGCCAAATCACCACTGGCTGAGAACCACTGATGCAGTACAACTGCGGTCCAACGCAGACAGTCCCTTTACCGTACAGCACACAGACAGACGCTGTGCAGGCAACCCACACCATGTGTGTCTCTTTGAATAAAAATTCATGGAATTTTTCAAAGATCTGAAAACAGCTCATTAAAATAATATCAGTTGTCATAACTTTTTTATAAGGATAAATTAAAACCATATCACTGTCTTACATAGTTTAACTCTTCATACAAAAACAAAACAAACAAAAAACCTTCTATCCCCTCAGGGTGACTGATTTCAATGAACATGATATAGTGGCTAATCATCAGCTCTGGTAGGTACCAAAGCCCAGCTCTGCCAATTCCAAGCTTTGTGACTTTAGTCAAGTTTCCTGACTTTTCCAGGCCTCAGTTTTCTCATCTGTAAAATGTGGGTAATGATAACATCCACTGCATAGGGTTCACAAAATCATTAAATGGGTTAACAAAAGCAAAACATTTAGTACCATGCCTGGCAATCCATTTGTCGCTATTGCTATGGCTGCTGTGAGAGCAATCAGACTGACCTACAGGATCTGCTCCCAGAGCAGAACTTGTGAAATGTGAGGATTTGGACTGTGTGTGGCAGCCATATTTTTTGGCACAGAGGAAGTCATTCTGTCACAAAACAATGAAGCCAACAAGCAGTGGAGAGTCACAGAAAGTGTCCTAAAATCATTAATTTCTGATCCCATTTGTGCCTGAGTTCCAGCTGCCATTTCCCTCAATTTAGTTGCTAGATTTCCCCCTGGTTTTAAGATATCCTAGTTTCTTGCAACCAATTTCGCTTTTACCTGTTTAGTTGAGTTGAGCTTCTGTCATTTGCATCTAAAAGAGTTCTGACTAACAAGACTTCTAAGTTTCAGATGAACAAATAAATCTGATATGAAAGATACCAAAAAGTTTAAAAGATTTTTCAAATTATATAAAACTTGGTCCAAAAAACTACTGATATATATTAGAGACACTATTTCAAAGTAAATAATAAATATTATAATTTAAAATAATAAACTAAGTCTTAAAATCTGAATTTAGGAGTAAAAGCTAAAGAAGTTTGCTTCAAATTACTTTTTATTGTAATC